GGAACTCCCTGCGCCACCGCACCCCTTCTTCATCTCAAAAATAAAGAAAACAGCAAGCAGCAGCAAGCAGCAGCAACAGCAAGCAGCAGGCAAGCAGCAGGCAAGCAGCAGGCAAGCAGCAGCAAGCAAGCAGCAACCAGCGTTTGCCCCCTTGAAAGAATGAACACATATAAGCTTTAAAAATCAACGCGATACTAAAAATTGAACTTTTTCCAGGCGCACGGCCCTAAAACAATGAAATCGTTCAATTACTAAAAGTTGTGATGATGCGAAACTTGAACTTTTTCCAGGCGCACGGCCTCCCGATACGACTTTAAGAAACTGATACGACTTAAACCGAGCACTTGTATGGTCATCCAAGAACCCAACGGAAATACATGGATTTGACCCACAAAAGCCTCTAAAACGATTCAACAAATCACTGCAAATCTCATAGGCACAGCCACAATCGCTACGACCCCCCGGAAAAGCTTCGCCCAATGGTATGGACTCAAAAGCAAAGAATCGCTACGACTTTGACCCTTGACTGTAACTGGTGATTTAATGGTGATTTAATGGTTTAACAATAGGTTAACAGTGGTGAATAATGGGATGATATGGGAATTACCATCTGATTATGACTAACAGTTCGCCATGGTATAGACAACCCATTGAAATAGATGGTTTACCTATTAATAGCATGGTGATTTTCCATGGCTATGTTGGTCATAACCAGATGGTATCACATGAAAATTGATTAAGAGTGATTAGTAAGTATGAATATTGATGAATAATGATGAATCGTGATTTATATCATGTGGTAAACCCTGGCTGCCATAAACCTACCATGGTTCATACAACGCATTTGTGGTCATGTTGGGATGGTTTATAGCATGTGTTTACCATATAATACTATATCCATCTATTTCCATATATACTCATATATATATGATTATATCACCTATAATTTTTGTTTTTGCACAGAAAATTGATTAAACACCTTAGGATTTGTTTGACACACCCAAAAATTACACACAATTGTCTCACAGATTCGTGACAAAGAAACATACAATGACCTTCAGTAAGCCTAAGAGATGGCCGGTTCGAACAAGGAAACAAATTTTCCAAACCACATATTTTGTCCAATTGAGCAATGTCTAACATTTATTGGACATTCCCAACATAATGCTTGATAAAATGAAAATTCCCATTTCATGGATTATGATCAACTCTCAATTTGAGGTGTTGAAATTTGTGAAAAAGGGTAGTTTACCCCGCTAGTCACCGACCAACCATCATTTATCCGGTATATCCATGTATATCCCCCATATTTTGGTGGCTAAATCCTATTTGAAGGTGATGTTCCCACCAGAAATCCTTCAAGGATGGATGATTTTCCCACCAAAACTTACGACGAAATCGTCGGTCAATGATCATTTGATTCTCAATCACCATCAGTTATTTCAATTATATCACTTATAAAAAATATCATTAATTACATCAAGAGTTGTACCAGTTCTATCATTTATATCAGTTTCACCCTTATTTGTTGTTTGTTTCTCATTTATCGTTGTTTTTTCCCCATTAAAAAAAACATGTTTTTCCCGGCACCATGCCTTGATGTCCAGCGCTGCGGCGGCATTCAGACCACCTGGACCCATGGAGATGTGCCATCCATAGATGGGATGGTGATATTGAACCACTGAAAATGCTGATTTTAACGGCTACAAACCGGGATTTCAGGGGATGTTCATGGATTAACCCTCTAATCGTTTAAGAGTTTGCTACGGAAACCATGGACCATGTATGTATGTTTAACCTATTGAACATGGTGATTTTCCATATCTATGTTAGGTTGCCAAAGAGGATATGGAACTCCAGCAATCTCCAAAAGTTGCTAAAAGTTGGAAAACTGGAAAAAATCATCGAACAACCCTGGAAGCACAACTGGCAGCATGCTTTCGGGGTTTGCTGTCATGGCATACATATTTTCATCCTACCATCTCACGAAACTTGGTCTTGACCCTGTTTCGCGTCTGCGACATGCCATTGAACTGTGAAGGGTCGATCCACGGATCTGTGCAGTGGAGGCGTCCCATCTCGGACCCCAAACAAGGCCATTGGATGAAGTTGTTAGGATTCAGCCAGACAAATACAAATAACTAAGCAAATATATATATATATAATAGTAGTTTTTATGCTTAATCCAATTGAATCCAATAATTATGTAAATGGACATACTTTTAAAACTATGATCCCATGTACTTTGATCCCATGTGCATAGTACTGTGCATGTATCTGTAATAGTTGCTGTCCTGGCTCAGGGGCCGGCAGTTGCGGCGAGCCATCTGCTTCTTGGCGCCAACAGCCGACTTGGGCCCAAGTTGGGCCAAGTTGGGCCCTTTGGGGGGCAGCCCGGGGCCAAGTTGGGCCCAACCCGAGCTAATTTTGCGGCCCAATGCGACTTTGATGGGGGTTCGTGTGAGGCCATGTTGCACACATTGGGCTTGTCTTGGGCCCAACTTTGGTGCCAGATGCTCCCACAGGACCAAGTTGCGCATGCTAAGCCCAACTTGCGCCCAAACGTGCCCAAGTTGCGCCATGTTGGACCCCCAGTTGGGCTCAAGTTGGGCCCAAGTTTGAGCCAACTGGCCCAAGTGACCTCCTGTTCGGCCCAACTTAAGGCCAAGGACGGCCAAGTTTGACCCATTCGGCTTTTGGTTGGGCCAAGTAGGCCCGCTTCTTTCCTCTCTGTCCTGTTCTCTGGGTGCAGGCGGTTCTCGTCGCGAAGCGACGAGAATTAATCAAATGAATTAAATCAATTAAATTAATTAAACTAAATTAAATTAATACGATTAACCAAATGAATTAAATCAGTTGAATTGGTTTAATTAATTAAACGAAATAGATTAATGATATTAATCAAACTAATCAAACAAAATAAGTTAATTTAGTGAATGAAATTAATTAGATTACTTGGATATAATTGGATTAATCAAATTGATTAGAGCAATTAAACTAAATAAATTAATTAAAGGACTTAGATTAATCAGATTATCCATTTAAGTCAGTTAATTAAATTAACTAAACTAAAAGAAAGGAAAACGGAGGGGAGCAACAAAGTAGTACCTGAAGGTCTCTTGATCATGTATATATATATATATGCATACATGCCAATTTATCACCAGTGTTCTTGGTTAAACCACTATGTTCTCCATGTATCTCCATGTCATAATTCATGGACCATAGCTTTATAACTATCATCCCAAAAAATAAGAAATATGCTGGGATCTCCCAAATATAACAAAAAAATAATCGGAAACTATCATACCCCCTGGTAAACTAACATAACTATGCAAAATCACCATTTTTTGGGGGTAAATCAACTATAAATGGGAACATTTCAATAGCTATGTTAGTTTACCGGAGGGTAATTATCACGATATGATCACCATTTTCCCCTTGTTCCACGCGGCCTCGTTCCCTCTGTCATCATCCCCTCTCATCCCCACCTGTGCGCTGCGCATTCTGCGCATTGTCCAGCAAGAACTGCGCCGCGGCGGGGTGCAGGGCCAGCTGACCCCTCGGACCACCTGCGAAAAGCGCAGGAAGCTCTGCGGAAAATCGGAAATTTAACCATTCAAATATAGGGATTTCATAGGTTATTGATGGGATTTTATGGGAATACTTTATGACCAACTACAACAAAAAGATGGATTGAACTGTTTTAACAAGTCAGCAGCCTAAAATTGGAGTGCAGCCACCAAAATGTGGTGGATTTAATCAATAGTAGCATCATATAACCAACCAACACGGGAAGTAAACCATCAAACCTCGTACTCTGAAAAGGGTTAGTTCACTTAAAGGAGTTGGAACTATCCACTTCATATCTGGAGTGTACCGTGGTGGACCACCATACGTCGGGCAATGAGTTTGCTTGTTTCAAATGGTGATTACAGAGATGTAACAGAATCATCTGGGCAAATCACATGTTCCAAACCTGACCTTAATTTTGAGGGTCTCATTATGTGCCCAGGTATGGCCATTCAACATGAAACTATCCGTTTTCAAGATGTAAATCATCCAGAATCTACTAAAATGCTGGGTTCTATTATTGCCATGTTTGTTTTGACTGAGAGTACATGCTAGATGAACCAATACATCAGATTTATCCGGGACACAAATTTTTGCACCACAGACCTGGAAGTTATCCCAACCAAAAAGTCACGAGATTTGAGACCTTGGAAAGTCACCAGATTTGACAACATAAAAAACATGCATAAACAATCATACCCTCTGGTGAACTAACATAGCAATGGAAAATCACCATTTTTCATGGGAAAATCCACTATAAATGGCCATTTTCCATTGCTATGTTAGTTCACCAAAGGGTAAACATCATAAACACCAAGCACGCAAACAAAAAAAAAAACATGCATAGCAGCCCAAAAAATCCATGGCTGGGTGTTGGTTTCCAAAAAGTCCATATGCACAGGAACAGGAACTGTGGATGATATATCCTATGATGTTCCCATATCATATCCCCATGAAACTGGTGGTGATGAAAATTGTAATGCTTCACAAAGCTGAAAACTGAAACCGTCATTTGGGGATGATTGTGTGTGGTAGTCATCAGGGCTAGGATTTTCTAATTGTGACGTGATTCTCTAATTTATCCAGCCTTGTCATGTCCCCAAAAAATGGTTGGTAGGAATTTTCTGATCAAAAATAGTACATGACGTCATGACGTAGTCAACACATGGCACATGTCAACTAGTAGACCCAATATTTGATTCACAGGGATAGGTTGGAGATAAATCGCTAGATTCCACATACTTGAAAGATCATCCCACGAATCGTAAGTGCTGTAATAATCCTGGTGATCGTAAGTCCCCCAAATGGACTATCCCATTTATAAATGGAGGCTTCCTGAAATAGGGCTACTCCCAAATCATCCATTTTAGTAGGTTTTTCCATGACAAAACCATCCATTGGGGGTACCCCCATGACTATGGAAAGCCCCACTTGGCAGCTTGGAGGCGACCCCGGGCACCTGTGTTGTCGTACTTGTAGTCCTTGCCATTTTTCAAAAATGGCCACAGCCAGCATGAATTGGATGGAAGGGACAATCTATACGAAGCATCAGGATTTATCATGAGATATCAGAGTTTCCTGAAAATGTGCCCTTAGACCAACCCTTTGATAGTAGGTTCTCCAATTTTCTGGTCAATTGCATTTTGGGATGGATTGTCTACGTATAAGATCACGAATGGGAACCACCAAATTGGGGAGAAATAAATGTATCGATCTAAAATCTATGTATTTTCATCTATACTATATAAGTCTATGTATTATATATAGATCTATATTCTCAGAATAGTACAGAGACTAAAAAATCAGCCCTGAAACAGCCAATTCCCGTGTTGTCCTCCACGTCATAGACGATGTCTTCATGGAGAGGCGAGGGGTATTCGGCACCATTCAGTTGCGAGGGCAGCACGAAGAGAGCCCCGTCGTTCTCCTAGCGATTTCACCCGTCGGGAAGACTCCCAGACTTCGGGGAACCAACGATGGATACCCTCTGGTTATGTCAAAATAGCTATTGAAAATGGCCATTTATAGTGGATTTACCTACTATAGATGGTGATTTTCCATAGCTATGTTAAATTACCAGAGGGTACAACGATGGATACTGACTACCTAACAAAAACCTACAAAAACAACTGAACGGGGAAAGAACAGGTACATTTTCAACTTGGTGCAACAAAAACCCATCAAAAACACTGCTGCCCTGCAGGAAGACCTCCATGTTCTAATGTAAGATCTATGTGTTGGATCATGTTGGTATGTGATTTGTCAAACCCTGCCCAAGCAAAAAAGGTGACAAACTCAACAATCAACCTGAACTGAGTAGGGTTTCAAATGACCCTCAAATGGTAGAACTCTGGTCTATTCTTGGATTTACTCTACGTAGCACACGATATATCTTGCACACAAGGTTCGCAGCAAAGTCAATCAGACTCTTTTTGAGGTGTCAATCAAAACATCAAAAAGGCATCTGGTGTCAAGGGAAAATGAATGCTCAACATGTTCACAGATACGCTAAGAACATTGAAATATTGAATCTGTGTCCCGATAAAGATCTATCTTTCTGCATGTTCCCGCCATCCAATCACCAAGTAGACCCAAAACTTTCATGGCTTCAACGCCCCTGAGAATATGGGGTAGTCCACGGGGAATCCTCGTCCGGTGTGTTGGATGCAAAAAAAAACAGCAATTCTTGCGGCTTTCACAAGTAGTAACTGTAATAGTGTTCATGTTCAAATCAGCTAACATACTGCTTCACTCTTTAAAACTTTTACCCTCTGGTTATGACTCACATAGCCATGGAAGCCATGGCCCATAGAAATAGATATTTACCTATTAATAGCATGGGGATTTTCCATGGCGAACTGGGTCAGTTCACCCTGGCGAACCCGGTAGTAGTTTTTTCCATCAAATTTGAGCTAGGATGTAATGAGATTGATGGAGCTTCATCACGTAATATGCTATGAAAATGTATGACACATAGGTACCTTGATTCAACTTGATACATGTTTGTTTGCCATTGTTTGCCTGAAAATATGGCAACCGGTAGCAAAAAAAACACAGATGTTTCCGTGTTTTTACTATATCATATTGCAATATGTTTGGGAAATTCCCCATATAGAGGTACCACATCCAAATCATTAATTGGTGATGATATTTACATATGTTTACCCAGTATATCAATGTATACAATCAAAAAGCCTCCCTATTCTATTCCCATAGAAATTCCCATTACAACATGCTTCCTGAATACCTTAACCATTAGTCTTAGTGGTTAATGGATGATCATCCCCAACTATGGATGATGATCATCCCCAACTATGGATGATGATCATCCCCAACTATGGATGATGATCATCCCCAACTATGGATGATGATCATCCCCAACTATGGATGATGATCATCCCCAACTATGGATGATGATCATCCCCAACTATGGATGACGATCATCCCCAACTATGGATGACGATCATCCCCAACTATGGATGATGATCATCCCCAACTATGGATGATGATCATCCCCAACTATGGATGATGATCATCCCCAACTATGGATGATGATCATCCCCAACTATGGATGATGATCATCCCCAACTATGGATGATGATCATCCCCAGCTATGGATGATGATCATCCCCAGCTATGGATGATGATCATCCCCAACTATGGATGATGATCATCCCCAACTATGGATGATGATCATCCCCAACTATGGATGATGATCATCCCCAACTATGGATGATGATCATCCCCAACTATGGATGATGATCATCCCCAACTATGGATGATGATCATCCCCAACTATGGATGATGATCATCCCCAACTATGGATGATGATCATCCCCAACTATGGATGATGATCATCCCCAACTATGGATGATGATCATCCCCAACTATGGATGATGATCATCCCCAACTATGGATGATGATCATCCCCAACTATGGATGATGATCATCCCCAACTATGGATGATGATCATCCCCAACTATGGATGATGATCATCCCCAACTATGGATGATGATCATCCCCAACTATGGATGATGATCATCCCCAACTATGGATGATGATCATCCCCAACTATGGATGATGATCATCCCCAACTATGGATGATGATCATCCCCAACTATGGATGATGATCATCCCCAACTATGGATGATGATCATCCCCAACTATGCCCAACTAGAGATGCCTTGGACAACGAAAAAAAAAACCTGGGCTGAGATCAACGTCACCTGGCGCTGGAGTTCCGTCATGATCTCGGAGGAGACGATGCCTGGCGAGACGATGCCACGGTGGAGTTCACCCAGAAAAAATGGGGAGAAAATGGTAAACTAACATAGCTACTGGAAATGGCCATTTATAGTGGATTTTCCCATTAAACATGGTGATTTTCCATTGCTATGTTAGTTTACCAGAGGGTAACAAACTGGAGCTTCCCCATTTTTTTTTGGAAATGTGGAAGGTGATTAATAAAAAACAATTAAAATGATGGAGAAAAAAAGGGTTATCCAAGAACAGACCGACGAATTTTTTAGGAACATCTGCAAGGAAACCATGGGTATTAGCCCCGAAAATGAAATGTTGCCCCAAAATCAAAACTAGGATTTACCCAAATAGAAACGCATTTGTTGGGGTGGGAAACACATTCTTTGGGTGGGCCACTGGGGGGCACAAAAAAAGCCACGGACATGGCATCTGGCTAAATTCATAATCCTGGATACTTCGATAGCCTTTATGGTTCAAAAAGTTTTGGTGATAGTTAGAAGTCTCTTGGAAAACAAGATACCCAAGATACTTGGATACTTAAGATACTTAGATACCCTTCTCGGATACTTGGATACTTAGAAGTCTCTTTGAAAAACAATGGTACAACACATTTTTCACCACCTATGGCTCAAAAATAACCCACTCTACCCAAGTTTTACCCAACAAAACTTGGGAACCCCTTAATGGTGTCTTTAGTTTTTTTGGGGGAACCACTTTTTCAGTCACTGGAATTTTCATGGATCCATCCCACAAGCCAGGTCTTCGTTGATTTATCGAACTTCATGCTGATGTTCCAGTTCGCAAAGTCTGGTTGATCATGGTTTATCACATCTAATTAGATGAATGGGCCACAAATCCGACTGTTCAATCACCAGAGGGTCAATTCTGCCAAGAAACTCAAATTCTTCAGATTGGAAAAATCATCACCGGACGGCCAATGCAAGGGCCTAGAGGCAGCTGGGTCCGGATTGGGTGAAACACACCGAAGCCACAACTCATCAAGTTTTCAAGGAAAACCTATATAGGAATCTATAGGAAACCATTTTTGGGCGAACCACAACTGATTGAAGACGATCGATTTTTTTTGTTTGGTACAGAAAGGAATCCAATTCTTCGAAGGTCAACTGTTTGAGCCCCAAACAAATGTGATATGACAGGAAACCACTGGGATCTTGCGGTTTTGCCATCTGTCTCTTCAGTTTCCTCTGGTAAACAAGCTTGAAACAGCCGTCAAACGGTCAAATGAGCAGAATGGAGCTTGGCTGCGAGAATCTATACAGAAGCCGGAAAAGGATATCTTCTGGTTATTTAACGTGGAAACAGGTAAATCATCATAAAACATCTATGAATGGTTCATTTTCCATAGCTATGTTAAATATCTAAAGGGTAACATCTTATAATACATAATTAATTTGAAACTCTTTCGAACCGGTGACCGCTGAGTGAAAAATCCACAACATGGGTAGAAGAAGACCCAATTCAATTCCATGTGGGGTACATACTGGAACAACAAATTCTATATGATTACAGTACCTAGATGTTGAAATATTACAAATAGTACATGTAGTTCATCCAGCACATCTATTACATATCGTACATATATCACATATATTCGCTCAGAGACTCCCCAAACTGTGGACCAGATGACCGGAGTGCGCTGAACGCAGTGGGATGACGATGGCCCATATAGTGCCATGGAGGGCCCGTCTGGCCACCAAGGACTATGGACGATGGTTATATGCGTTGTTTATATCCATTAAAATATTGCCAGTAACATCGATGATAAATACAAGCAGGCAAATCAAAATAGATAAATGATGAGTTTTGTGTGTATATATATAATTATATATATATATATTAATCTTCCGGAGGGTACATATGGTACATTCATCGGATACTCAGCTGGTCGAATCGCTTAAAAAAAAAAAACGCTACATCTCCCCACTCGTTTGCCGAGGCGCTTGTCTTGTATCCGTTTGCAACTGAATCTTCCAATCCTTTGGTCTTTGACACTGAGCCATCCATTGCGAGGCTCCTCGGCAGTCGAAGCCAGCCTTTTAGCATGAAAGAAATACCAAGGCCTTGTTGATATACATATATACATATATACATATATACATATATACATATATACATATATACATATATACATATATACATATATACATATATACATATATACATATATACATATATACTTTCAAAGCAATGATGTTCAGTGCATGCCTGTTCGAGATCATCAGCTACGTGCATCTCTGCAGCTCAAGGGTGGGCTCAGGCATTGCCCAGCGGAGGGTGGGACATTTTGAGCTTCGCTGTCAGCCATAAAAAGGTGCTACGATTGGTGTTTGTGCAGGGCACATAGGTGTTTACAGATCAGGGATCTTTCAACTACATCTCAGTGTGGATCTTCCTTCAGTTGTTGGATAGAGAGGGATTTGGGTATCTCTCAAGGATCGGCCTCCCTACCAATCTTGAGATTGGTAGCGGAGCGCCTGGTCGACCGCTCCAGCAGGGACCTAGCTCCAAGATCTTTGAGGACAAGGACAAGGAGGTGAACTCTGTTTGGACATGAGTGAGACATCAGGCGGGGATGCCGCCTCCTATGTTCCAAAGGAACTTGCAAGCCTGGTTCCGAGTTTTGATCCGTCAACAGATAATGTGGACATCTGGACAAGCAAGGTTGAACTTCTTTTGACCACGTGGCCTCCTTCCAAGTTGAATGAGTTAGCAACAAGACTGATTTTGGGATGCAAGGGCACGGCATACCAGAAACTACAGCTGCTCCGACATGAGGTCCTTACAAATGATGAAAAAGGGATTCAACGTTTGGTGGAAGTAGTTGGGGGGACTTGGGGACAAGTGCCAATTGAGAAGAAGTTTGAACTGGCGGAACGTGCACTGTTTCGCAGCATCCAGAAAGCCGATGAGAGTTCTGATTCATATCTTTCGAGATGTGATGTGATCTGGACAGAACTGCTGTCCCGTAAAATGTCACTCAGTGAACTGCAAGCATACATCGTTCTTCGAGGGAGCAAATTGCCTCCTGAGGACAAGAAACGGGTGATTGTAGAATCCAAAGATGCTTCAGATAGCTCCTTGACCATGAAGAACGTGACAGCAGCCATTCGACTCCTTGGGTCAGGTTTTTTTCAAGATTACACTGGAATCCGAAGAGACAAAGTCGGAAAGACGTATGATCACACTGCTTTGCATATGGATGATGAACCTGAGCATGAACAGGAAGCCTTCGTCCTGCAAGATGATCTGTGTGAAGATGACATTCTTGAAACACTGGCCGCTGAGAATGATGAAGATGCGATTCTTGTGATGCAATTTGAAGATTCGATTTCAGAAACGATCCAATCCGATTCAGAGTTAGCTGCATACTACTCCAATTACCAAGAGGCCAGACGCCGCTTGAGTGAAAGGGTGAAGGTTCGTGGCTTTTGGCCAATCAATCGCCGCTCTGATAAGTGTTTTGGAAAGAAAGGAAAAGGCAAAGGCAAATCGCCTTTCTCTGGTCCAGGTTCTTTGGCACGACGCATTGCAAATTCGTTTTGCCGAATCTGTATGCAGAAGGGTCACTGGAAGAATGAATGTCCACAGCGTGCCGGTGGAAATTCAAGCAGTTCCAACTCCAATCCAGCTGCCAATGTTGCCCCGACCTCTGTGGTCATTGCCGAAGAAGTGCCTGAGGAGATTGCCCATTTCACCATCGTGGATGATCAGGACCCACAAGCCGAACAAGCCTGTTTTGGGGTAATGACTTCTCAAGGGGGTAACCGTAGGACCGGGGATAATCGGGGTAAGATAATGATGGATAAACTTCAGTTTGCTGAACGTTTTCACCTTCAGTGGAAACGCCACGACAGGACCAAGAAATCATCTGAAGCCCGAGTGCCCATCCGATCCGAGTTAGAGCAACAGTCTCTGACACCTGCGCCTGCCTGCCCCGAGTCAGAGCATATGTCTCTGAAGCCATTGCATCCGTCCGAAGCTGCCGTAGACACCCAGATCTGCGACGTTCATTTTGCAACAGCAGGAACTGTAGGAATAGTTGATCTTGGAGCTTCTCAAACTGTGATAGGTGATGCCCAAGTTAAAGAACTGATTCAGAACCTGCCTGAAAGGATCCAAAGCCAAATTCAAAGGACCACTTGCAATTTGACGTTCAGGTTCGGGAACCAGCAGACTCTCACCAGTAGACATGCCTTGTTGCTGCCGCTGGGTCATGCCAAGTTTCGCATAGCAATTGTTCCAGGTAAAACTCCATTTTTGCTGTCAAGTTCGTTTCAAAGGGATCAAAGCGGTAATTAACACTGATACTGGGGTTTTGTGGAGCAAATCATTGAACAAAGAATTGATGGTATCCCAGTCAAGCAAAAATTTGTTCCTCATGGACATCAGTCAACTATGGCAAGGACCCAATGAAGAACCAACAGTACAGAAATCTAGTGCGACTGGATTTACTTGTCTTCAGGTGCCAATCCAAAACACAGTCAGCAGTCTGATGCCAGAGTCGTCCGAGAGTGCAAGTCCAGGGTTGTCACCAGAGAAGGTCAATCAGGTCACAGGTGAAGATTCATGTCAGGAAATTCAAGATCCCGCAGGGTCCATGACAGAGAGTGCAAACAATCGCAATCACATGACCATGCATGGTAGGCCTCATGATGCTCCTCACAGTTTTTCACAACCAAGCAGTAGCCTGTGTGAAGCCGACGCTCAGCACATAAGTGACGTTCACCATGTCCAGCGTGGCCACCAAGTTGACTCAGTATCGCGAGGGGCAGAAGAAGACCGAGTCCAAGGACGAGCTGGGACGCATCCGGGAGATGACCCTGGAGCAATTGGCCAAAGAACGCATTGCGTTCGGCAAGGCCAAGATGGGACAGACGTTTCCCGAAGTGTTCGGGGACCAATCATGGACCGACTGGTTCATTCGAGCTTACGAGAAAAGCCCGAAGCCTCAGCACCAGATGTATGTCCAGTACGTCCTGAAGCGTCTGGATCACGAGATCGCCCAGGATATGAACAAGAACCAGACCAAGAAATCCGAGAAGATGAAGGAGTGCCGAGCCACCGCCTCGGCCGACTCCGATGTGTGGGATCAGATCTCAGAACTGGATCCAGTGGAGACCTTCTTCGAAATGCCAGCTCCGGCCAAGATTCAACAGGTGGAGGAACAAGTGGGAAATCTCTCCATGGAGAACAAGCAGTTGGCGAGTCGCATCACGAACATGGAGATGGCCATGCAGGAGGTTCTCATGCATGTACGTCAACTGAGTGTGAAAGCCGAGCTGTAGAGAGTGCCTGTTCTGCTGATGTTCACGTGCATGATCGCGATGTGGACTTGGATTTTGATTTCACTCCTAATCAAGGGCACAATAGTTTCAAAGCCCGGATTCAACGTGATGTCCGAAAGTTTTCCAAAGAACTGCATGACATTGTCATCCAGGTCCGATCCAAGCCAAGATGTCAGCAGCCGAGACTTGATTTGCTAGAAGTCATGTGTTCTGGGGAGAGTGAACTCACCAAACAAATGCAGAGGCTTGGAGGAAAGGCACAAAGGTTTGGTCGTTTGCAAGGTGATCTCAACACAGTGGAAGGCCGTAGGCGACTTTTCACCATCTTAGCCACCCAGCAACCAAAACATGTATGGGTAAGTCCTGAATGTGGTCCATGGTGTCAATGGAGTCAATTCAACATGAATAGGTCTCTTGAAGGGTGGGAACAAGTGATGAACAAACGAGAGCAACAGCTTTGGCAGATTTCCTTGGCAGTGGTTTTGTATCGTTTTCAGAAAGAACATCATAACCATTTTGACTTGGAACAACCTCGTGGATCAGCACTCATGAAGACACCGGGAATGCACGAGATTCTCCAAGGGACTCTCTGGAATGAGTTTGACATGTGTAAGGTGGGGGATCTCCGAGATCCACAGACTCATGATCCGATCCGCAAAAGGATGGCTGTTTGCTCCACATCCGTGGACATGCATGTTGCGCTGCATGGCAAGATGTGCAATGGTGAACACCACCATCGGAACATCGCTGGAAACACAAAGATCCATGGTGTCACAGTGAAGTTGTCACAGTTCACCGAACTCTATCCCCAAAAATTTGCAAAGCAGGTTGCCAAGATCATGCTCCATGACCAAGGTCAGCGATGTTATGCCATGGTTGGTGAGACAATCGACGATCATCCCACCAAACGCCGTCGATTGGGGAGTAAATTGAGCCCTCAAGCCGTTGCCGAAAGATTTGCTGAGCCTCCGGAAGCCACCATCACCTGGTTGTCGGCAATGAAAGTTGCTGATCGCACTGCACCACGGGTTGGAACTCAAGTTGTCGAAGCCGGCGAATTGTTTGAACAAGTTCAAAGTTTGTGTCCTCAACATCATGTTCGCCACATTGTGTTGTGTCGAGGTACAGATCGATACGTGGGACCCAACAGAGCCATTCCACCAGGGTTTGCTCCTTTACGTAGGCAAGTTTGTATCAAGCGCCGATCTGAAGATCTTCATGTTGATGACTGGGAGGCCTGGGAAAACCTTTCTCAAAGGGGTCTTCGTAGGAAGGGGCAATCAGCCCGGGTCAGCATGACAGTGTTTGCATCAGTCAAAGAACCTGAGGTGCCAAGTTCAGCTGTGCCCGTTCACACGGGTGATGGTAGTGTTTCCCCGAGCAGTCACCGGCGACCGCTGGAGACAAAAGGTGCAAGCCAACCACCTGCTGCCAAGCGTATGCATCATAATCCAACTGGGAATGGACCAGAGACAGCCAGTACCACACCAAGACCACAAAACCTTGATGCCACTCCCAATGCCGACATCAACCTGAAGCCTCACCATAATAACCCTGAATTGAATAACCATAACCTCCACCCCATAAGTAATCCTGATGACAATGGTAGAAATAATTCTGAAGTTTCCCATGAGTCCAGTGAAAGAACGGCAGAAACTGAGACATCAGAGGTTCCCCATCAAATCGTTGATTTAGCCAGCCAAAAGCATGGACCAGAATTTTTACAACTTGACCGTGATGAGCAGAGTTGGCTTTTGAAATTGCACCGCAATCTTGGCCACCCTGGTCATGCAAAGCTGACGGAATTTTGCCGACAGTTGCAGTGTCCTGAAAGGATTCTCAAAGCCATTCGAGACATCCAATGTTCCGTATGTCAGGAGAGCAGGGGTCCAGTCATTTCTCGACCAAGTGCGATTCATGAGCCATGCGATTTTGGGGATGTTGTTTCTATGGATGGTATCACGTGGACGAATTCCCAAGGAAGTCAATTTCACTTTTATCATTTTCTAGATCAAAGCACCATGTTCAACACTGCCGTTGTATCGCCAGGTCATACAACTGATCATGCCTGCAGAGCCCTGTTGACAGGATGGTTCAATTGGGCTGGACCTCCAAATCTCCTGTGCGTAGATGCTGCAACGGAGTTGAACTCAGATGAATTCAGCTCCTTTCTCCAGAGACACAGCGTGAAATGCCGAACCTGTGCTGCCGAAGCCCATTGGCAAAATGCACGTACAGAGCGTCATGGCGGCATCTTGCAGTTGATGTTAAACAAGGTTGACCTGGAACAACCGATCACCACCTATGAACAAATGTCAGCAGCTCTTAGCCATGTAACCAGTACAAAGAATCAATGGAGCCGACACCGGGGTTTTCCTCCAGAAATGTTGGTTTTTGGAAAAGGGGTGCGGGTACCAGGATCAGTGACCTCTGATCCAACTGTTGCCGCACATGCTGCTGCTCTGTCAAATCAACCTGACGGAATGCGCTTTCGACAGGATCTGGCCCTCCGAGAATCCGCAAGAAAGGCATTTGCCATGGTGGATAATGACCAGACTCTCAGAAGGGCCATTGTCCAGCGGAGCAGGCCACATAGAGGGTTCTATGAAAAGGGTGAGTGGGTCATGATGTGGAAGAAGAAAGGTGAGGCAGAAGGATCATGGATAGGGCCACTACAAGTAATCATCCAAGAAGGTCAAAACACTGTTTGGGTAACACGCCATCACAAACTGTACCGAATTGCACCAGAACACCTCAGAAGCTTGACGGCCATGGAAGAACACCGATATCAACCCAGTTCCACGGCAATTGAATCCAGAGATCAATCATCAATCAGGCCTGCCCATGGTGGAGTTCAATTTCATGACATGATGCCTCCTCAACCCGTAGATGACTCACAGGGCCAGAACCATGCCATTCCAAGTGCCTCAATGCCGGAAGTAGAGCCAAGCGTGACCTTGCAAGCTCCGATGTCAAGTAGCCCTTCGGGACAAAATGTTCCTGAGTCACCTCATGACCAACCTGACACCGAACCTGAAATTGTCTCAATTCCATCAGAAAACCCAAATGACAATTCCAACAATACAACCACTGAAAATACACCAGCTTTTGAAATCCCAGTGCCTGAAACATCAGATGAGGAAGATGGTTTATATGCCCAAGAATATCCAATCTATACTCTTCATGAAGAACAAGCTTTCCGTTTTGAAGTTGACATCAATCAAAAAGATATCAATCAGTGGAAGGAAGAAGTCCGTCCATCTGAAATGGCTTTCTTGGTATCAGCTGCGAAACGCCAGCGCAGTGAAGTGAGAATCTCAAATCTTAGTCCTGCAGAAAAACAAATGTTTGCAGAAGCTAAGACAAAAGAAGTCGAGAGCTGGCTTTCCACTGAGACAGTCTCAAGGGTGTTGCGTCACCAGATTCCCAAAGAAAGCATACTTCGATGTCGATGGATACTCACTTGGAAAGAAGCCGATGAAACCAATGCGGAAACCAAGTCGACATCCATGCACCCAAGTCGTAAGGCCAAAGCACGATTGGTGGTGTTGGGTTTCGAAGATCCAATGGTAGATCAGATTCCACGGGATAGCCCTACGATGTCAAAGTTGTCACGTGTTTTGATACTTCAACATGCTGCCAGTTTGGGTTGGGACATTCACAGTTTTGACATCAAGACGGCGTTCCTGAGGGGTACTGAACAGCAATCACGATTGTTGGGCATGGAACCACCTGAGGAGATGAGGACAAAAATGAAACTGAAACAGAATGAGATTGTGCAGTTGCTTAAAGGAGCTTATGGCCGAGTTGATGCTCCCTTTCTTTGGTTTCAAGAACTCAAACAAAGCCTCGAGTCCTTAGGATTTGTTTCTGCACCGTTTGATCCATGCTGTTTTGTGCTTAGGAATGAGAACCAGCAACCCGAGGGAATCCTTGGCATACATGTTGATGATGGTTTGTGCTGTGGATCCTCCAAATTTCATGCAAAACTCTTAGAACTTGAAAGAAAATATCCGTTTGGTAGCAAGAAAAGGAGAGATTTCACGTTCACAGGGTTGAAAATTTCTCAGAAACTGGATCAATCTATTTGGGTTAGTCAAGAACAGTATGTCAAAGATATACATCCAATTAAGATTGCCAAAGAACGAAAATTGACTCCGACGGCACCTGTCACTGAAGAAGAGCGTCAGGGACTGAGAGCACTTGTGGGATCACTACAGTATGCCGCAGTCAACACAAGACCGGATATTGCGTCCAGGCTCGGATGGTTACAATCACAAATCAACAAAGCAACCATTGCCACTCTCAGTGAAGGTAACAAGATACTTCATGAGACCAAAGTCCATTCAGATGTAACTATCAAATTCCAACCTATTCCCGTTAACGACATTCGATTTGTAGCATTTTCCGACGCTTCATTCGCATCCAGCAAAAATCCTGACTCACATCAAGGAATGATGATCATGGCCAGCCATAAAAAGATTGCTGAGAACCAAAGCTGCCCAGTGAATCCTCTCATATGGCATTCGAAGAAGATACAAAAGGTTGTAGTCAGTACGTTGTCTGCTGAGGCTATGTCATTGGCCGGTGCAGTAGACAGTTTGACATGGCTGCGTCTTTACTGGGCCTGGTTGCGTGACGGCAATTGCAAGTGGCAGTTGGCGGATGAAACATTACTGCGGTTGCCTCCGGCGTTTGCAGCGATTCCTCCAACAGATGATTCCACTGATTCACAACCACCTTTATCACTTCAGAATGTACTTTCAAAACTACCCGAAAAGACTCAATCTATTATCACCACAGATTGCAAATCACTTTTTGACTTGATCAGTAGACATGCCCCACCCAGTTGCGGTGAATTCAGAACTCAATTACAAGCAAAACTGATTAAGGAACACCTTCGAAATGGAATCCAAATCAGATGGGTACCATCACAAGCACAGTTGGCAGATGCTCTGACAAAGATCATGGATGCTGCGGTATTGCGTGAATGCCTGGCCCGTGGTCGTTACAGCCTACATGACGAAAACCAGATCCTCCGTGCCCGTTCCGACTCGAGAGCCCGAATGCAGTGGCTTCGCAATTTGTCTCAGGATTCTACAACAGGGGATTCATTGATAGGAAAAGCCAAGACGTCCTAACTGGAATCAAGTTGACTGACAACAGTGTTTTCATTGTACGCCAGATGGGAAAGAATCTTGAAGACTCAGCGTGAGGAACCGCTGTATCTCGAACAATTTTATAGATAGAAGGAATTTCAAAGCAATGATGTTCAGTGCATGCCTGTTCGAGATCATCAGCTACGTGCATCTCTGCAGCTCAAGGGTGGGCTCAGGCATTGCCCAGCGGAGGGTGGGACATTTTGAGCTTCGCTGTCAGCCATAAAAAGGTGCTACGATTGGTGTTTGTGCAGGGCACATAGGTGTTTACAGATCAGGGATCTTTCAACTACATCTCAGTGTGGATCTTCCTTCAGTCGTTGGATAGAGAGGGATTTGGGTATCTCTCAAGGATCGGCCTCCCTACCAATCTTGAGAATATACATATATACATATATACATATATACATATATACATATATACATATATACATATATACATATATACATATACATATATACATATTCATATATACACATACGATCACATACATATATCACTATATATATATGTATTCATATATTCATATATCATGAGGGTTTCGAAACATTGACCTTCTTCAAGAGTTTGAAGACCACAAACATGAGACCTCATTACGGTGTGATGAAAACTTTTATCTGCAGAAGTCCGGCGAAAGAAGTGAGATATCAGAAGTAGGCTGGGAGGCCGTTGGTATGGGACATCGGACTGAACAATCAACAAGCCATGAAGAATCAGGGGACCTGCAGTGCTGGCTACGTTTTTTTTGGGATAACTATGGGATAACTATATGGGATAACTAGATAACTATGATATGGGATCATCAAAAAAGGGGACTTACCAATGAGGGCGCTAAGAACCAGTGACTAACCGGGAAAATTCCAGCAGATGCGAAAAGGCTACAGGCAAGCAACTTTCACATCGCAATGTGAACAAAATAACCGTGTCCCAAGTAGCTGTGACCCTTGCGGCCTTTTCTGTCTGCCAATATGTACAGTATATGTATAGATTATACACATTGACATATGTAGAGAGAGAAAGAGAGAGAGAGAGAGCGAAACGCACAACATCGTGTTCATTCTTCGTATTCAAGTATCCAAATGACCGAACTTTAAGGCATACTCACCTCACATCTAATTACCCCCGAATAGTAACATATGAAACCTTAAATATAGATAGCCAGATAGGTCTTCATAACTTTCCTGTTGGTAATCGTCATTTCTGTCGAATTGTACCGGGTTTCAGCAGGAATATCCCATTTTTGTTCCAGGCCCTCCAGGCTGTAAATCCAGGCATCGAAGGCATATGGGCCATGAGAACCGTTCAAGGTCCACGTACCTTCCCTCTTCAGGAGGTCCTGACCACAGGATGTTGGAGAGATCAATTTTTACGCCATGGAGGATTGTCCATGGATTGAACGGAAAGAATATGTTGGGATTTACAAGCCAACTAAGTTAAGGATGTGTTTTATGAGGTGTTTGTTCTTGTAAATGTTCCCGAACATCGAATTCTGTCAAACAAACATTTACTCAATGAGTAACTCGGATCAACATCATGACATCTTGTAATTGTTGCTGGAGAACCCCACAGCCTGCTTTCATATATCGGGAGGTGCCAAATTTTCATAAAAACGGTAAAAATGGCACGCAGATATGACTTGAAGATGACCCCACATAGCCTGAGGAGATGATGAATGAGGATTGCACCACTGCTGAATGGATAACTTCAGCATAAACCTTCAGCATTTTCATTGCGGCCTTGATGGCCTTGGACCAAGGTGAAACAGTGAAATCTTGACTCGTGGCCATGAATTGCCATCATCCCAGCTGGGGTCTGGGGTCAATCCCTTTTCAAACGAATAGTCTTGGGGCTCATCATCCCAGGACTGGTTGGCGACTGAAACTGCGAAGAAAATGAAGATCCGCTCCTGGATTTACCTTTTAAAAAAACCAGCTGGTTGGTGGTTGAGCCTACCCCTCTGAAAAATGATGGAGTGAAAGTCAGTTGGGATGATGACATTCCCAATATATGGAAAAATAAAACATGTTCCAAACCACCAACCAGCCAGGTATGGCACTTTGAGTTCCGTTGCCACTTGTGAGTGAGAAACGGAGAACTATAGACTCTATAGACTTTGGCAAATTGCTGAATGCACCCGCAGAGATAGTGAGTGGATAGCATCCGTGTGGACATGGCGCACTGTCATTTGGATGGTGAATATACCAAGAATGACCAGCATGTTGTGGCTTCCAGTCTTTTAGATTTTTTCTAAACAGGAAAACGATGGAAAAACCATCTCTGGTCAAGTCATGTACGGAAAACGTGATCCTGATATACAATACAACACTACGCCACTAGGAAAAGGGCCATTTCTTGGTGTCTCACGTTAGTTGCCAGAGGTGTAGCCCCCAACGTTTACCTAGTTTACCTGTGCAAATGATGACACTTTCCAAATTCAGACATACTCTCCTGTAACCAAACATGGTTTGCTGGAAACTCCTCCATTTTTTTCGACCATTTCTCCGAAATCTCGTAGTTCAGGGATTTCCCAGCCGTTTGCTGAAACCAGAGGTGACGTCAGCGAAAATGCCCCACGAATCGATGCAACCGAAAAAACCTCCGCTAGCCTTGGTTTGTTGATCCCCTGCCAAAAGCTTACCTTTCTATGGGCATATGTGTAATATATATATATATATATATGTATATAATGTATATATATATATGATATATATATATATATATTATATGTATATATAATATGTATATATGTATATATACCCTCTGGTAGTTTGTTACATAGCTATTGAACATGACCATAGAAATAGTTGATTTACCCACTAATGGCATGGTGATTTTCAACAACTATGTTAGTTTACCAGAGGGTGTATATATATATATATATCTGTGGGTATATATATATAAATATATCTGTGGGTGTGTGTATATATATATATGGTAAACCCATCTACCAAAATGCTCGAAATATCGAAATATCTCTCTGGCGACAACGTCATCGCCTTCCCAATGTCTTGATCTTCAAAGCTCGGCGCCTTCGCTATGCTTCGCTGGGTGGTTCGTCAGCAGTCTTGGTCATGGGGATCATCTTGGGGATGAAAAAAATGTGGTAAACTCAATAAACCATCAAGTCATCATCATTTTTATGGGTGGTATGTTTACAATCCCCAGGCATGGTAGGTTTATGGAATTGGGTTTCCCACAGAAAAAACATGTACCAAAAGTCCTTGGATGTGGGTTCCATACGGTCGATTATCACTGGCGGTGCTGCTTGTCACCCAGCGACATTTACCAACTTCCAGAATCAACATGGATCAACACAGGGTGGTTTCCCCCCGTTAGAAGTTGGTTTACACACCTCATGAAAACTATTGATGTAATAAATCACATGTAATCACCATAACCCTTAATTAGATATGTTCGTTGTAGATAGTTGTAGACAAACTAAGCTAAATATGGAGCACTACCTAGTCTGGTTGGTGGTTGACCTACCCCTCTGAAAAATCATGGAGTTCGTCAGATTGGGATCATTATTCCCAACTGAATAGTAAGTCAGTCAAAATTCCATGGTTCCAGTCAGCACCAACCAGTGATTATTAACCATTATTAACCATGATTAACCATGATTAACCACTATTAACCATCATTAACCATCATTAACCATCATTAACCATCATGGTTCCAAAGCACCAACCAGATATGCCATGTTTTTTGGCTACTTACCGAGGTATGTCGCGGTCACAAACCATTTTTGGACGGACTGGTGACCCGATCAACTCGACAGCAACCAACCAACGTCCCGGCGACCGTAAACGTTTACAGTAAATCACTATTTTTAATAGGTAAATCCACTATTTCTATGGCCATGTTCAATAGCTATGTAACAAATTACCAGATGATATATAGACAACACACTATCATACCCTATCCACTTACTGTAAATCACTATTTTTAATTTTAATAGGTAATTCAACTATAAAATTACCAGAGGGTATAAATCAATGTCATTGATGGCTAGAGTTAACCCATTCTGCCATCTGCGGCCACAGTGCCATCTCTGCCGGCAACCGAAGAGTCAAGTGAGGTCCAATCTTACAAGTTGGCACCCCAGTTTTCGATCTAAGTTGGTATGGTATATAAGTCCAATAACTATGCACCAATAAAAAAAATTATGGTGATAAAAAATCAGTTAATGTTTATAAGTTTCCATAACTATGGTTTATAAGTCCAATAACTACGGTTTATGCTACAAATACCTACAGATACCCTCTGGTAATTTAACATAGCTATTGAAAATGGACCATAGAAATAGTGGATTTTCCCATTGAAAATGGGTGGATCTTTCCATAGCTATTTTGACATAACCAGAGGGTAATGGAGATGATAAACCAACATCACAGGTCCGGGTCAGCCGACCAGGTCATCCCCATGGGGATGGTCCGACGAATCCCCGCGGATTCGATGATGTGCCGATGCTTATCTGTGAAGCCCCGAGGAATCTATAATACACAAAAAACCGAAAGGTCATTCAGAAGGAAAACCATGTAATATATATATGTATATATACATATTTATATAGGTTGATATTCAGATTGTTTTTTTTGGTTTCAAAAGTCTACAGTTCTCTTTGGGGCGCGGTCACAACTAGCCACCTGCAAGAACTCCAAGCGTGACTCCATCTGCTGCTTGTGCTCTTGCAACTCCTGCCGCGCCGCTCCATTCAGTCAGAAAACACTCGTTTTACGTTACGAAAAGCAACAAATAAACAAAAAAAAGTGCCAAAAAATGGATGAACTGACATTTTTAGTAATTTATTTATAATAAATCCATATAAATCCTATAGTGAACTGATATTATCCAAGAGGTGAACACCCAGGTTTATACACCCAAAATGATCTCAATCCACAAAAGGACACTGGAAGCTTGCGGGATGAAAGCCCCATTGGGTGTCCAAATTTCATCAGTTGATTCCAGTATCTCCATCTCCATCCTTCTCATGAGCATGCCTGAAATTCAGAAGTGCTTCCTATGGGCTACGGTGAAAAAAAACACATCGTATCCCTCAATGGATTGGCGTAAGGGAAAATCTTTGCCGGAAAGAAAGATGTTCCATTAAAAAGATCCTGGGGGGTTAGTATCAGCCTGAATTAGTATAACCCATATAGATCCACATAGTTTTTCTATAACCCTGAGATGAATTTTCTACTGGGTTTCCGATTTCATTTGTCCCTTAAACCAATCCATTGAATCCCAGAGATGGCTGGTCAAGTCATCGAGGACCCACGGGATGGTTTTTCAAAACCCTGAGACACAGCCACAATCATAGTGCTGATTATATGTGTATCTCTATATTATATATATATATTAATTTACATAATTATATATATTTATATTTATATATATATCCAATTGGATCCTTATCGATTCGGTTTGGTTTTTAGGGGGGTGTACCATATATATACCTCTGCACTTCTGGACCCTTCCGACCTTTTTCGCCAAAAAAAAAACACCCAGCTGGGCCTGCTGAAACTTCAACCACTTCTCCTCCTCGGCCTGCGCGTGTCCCGGAAGGGGTCTTCAACATGACCTATTGATATATTTGTTTTACAGTAAGTGGATAGGCTTTTGTCTAGAAAAACCATCTGGTAATTTAACATAGCTATGGAAAATAGACACCGAAAATTTGCTGATTTTCCATAGGTATGTTGGATTACCTTAAAGTTGCCTTAAAGAGTACTTTTTTTAATTAGGAACCGCCAAAACGATAGAGCAGTAAAATCCTGCTAAAATGATGATACATGACTGTTTCAAGTTCTAGCTTATGTAGGCAAATTATACATGGCCAGAAAAAGATCAGGGAACTGGGTAATGCAACTGGTGAAGGGTGGGTTGAAAACCTAACACTTGGTCATAAACATGTACTATATTGTCTGTATGTGCATAATCATATATATATACATACATACATATCCTATTTTTTCTAAGATCTCGAAAATCAGGCATGTATGTTCCGGTTGAGCTCGCAATTCCTAGCAATTCTTGGAACTGGTTGTTTCAAAAAAAGCAGGACAGCCCAATAGTACAGCCAAAAAGGCAAGTTATATAAGGGGACTGATCAGCTAGGGCCGGTAAACGTTTACAAAAAACTATGGAACATCACCATGTTCAATTGGTAAATCCACGAACTAAATCACCAGTTTCAATAGCTATGTAACAGTCACTACCAGAGGGTAAGCAGTAACCCTGTGGTGATGTTTCGCGCATTGAGTGAGCTTGCAACAAGTGAGTGGTGCTTGGTGCGTCCATTTCCTCCGGCTCAATCCTGTCGGTCATGTCAGGGGTTGGGTTGCATGTCCTATTTTTTCACATCACCCAAACATTGGGGATAGATTTTCTCCACCAGATACCGTGTTTTAGTGATGTTCAAAATGTTCAACATCCCCAAGAAAAATGGGACATTTACCAAACCCTGCATGTTCTGCCTCGTTTTCAAAATCGCACCTTTCACTGCGATACTGCAATCATCCATCCCACTTGATTGACGGTGAGCAAACTGCTGCTTAGTTGACATCCCATTCCTCAAAAAAAAAATACGCAGAGACCCTGTGGTTTGCCCGGACTGCAATATTGAGGATGCCTTGTTGTTGAACATGATAAGATAGATTGCAGAAAATACAGCATATACGTAGTGTTTTCTGGTTTAGGATTCAAACTGTTCAGGGTTTAGGGTTTTCGGGTTTTAGAGTTTAGGGTTTTAGGGTTTGCCGTTTTAGGATTTAGAATTTAGGGTTTAGGTTTCGTCGTCTGGGAAATACCAGAACACTGGCCCTGCGCTGGTATTTGAGCATGTTAAAGGATAATGTTTGAACACAGTTCTAATCTTCCGGGCAAACCATAGGGTCTTGCTGTATACATAGTCTAAATTCGCATCCCTGGTTGTATCAACAACCTCGATTTCTACGTTGATATTAAGATGTCACACGTTAGAGGTAATAAAAAAGAACTTTAAAAAAAAACAGTTGAATAATTGAATATAGTTGAATTCTACTCCATGTCCTTGATACTTTTCGTACAAGGTGGTGCCCCCCCAGTTATAAGTTGGTTTCTAACCATATCAATGAAGCCAAGTGATCTGAGTTATTTGAACCAACTTCGCGAACTATAAAATCTCCTAAGATCCCGTGGTTTTCCGTGGTTTTCCCCTAGAAATCCTTGGGTTTTCCCCGTAAAATCCGTAAAATCCCTTGGTTCAACCGACATCCAGCCATCGCTGGAGGCCTTGCCCTGAGCTTCGATGCGATCCAGGCGCTTCTCTATGTCCAGACCTGTCGGTGCCACTTAACTTGATGTTGTTATTGTCTAGTTCCACTGGCACCATATCTTGATGGTTAAATACCCTCTGGTAATATATATATATACATACATACACTTAATTCTGTATGTATGTATGTATGTATGTATTTATTCGTGTATGTGTGTATGTATGTATGTATTTATGTATTTATTTATTTATTTATTGATTTATTGATTTATTGATTTATTGATTTATGTGTGTGTATGTATATATATATATATTGAAATATACGTATGTATATATGAGCAGGGAGGGGGGGTGGGGTTCTGGGGACCGGTCTCATATATAATCATATATAGATACCCTCAGGTAATTTAACATAGCGAAGTGGAAAATCACCATGTTTAATAGGTAAATAATCTACAAATGGCTAATTTTCAATAGCTATGTCAAATCACAAGAGGGAAAATTCATATGAATTTACCATGGTTGGTGTAAATAATTTATCAACATATGCAATCACAGTGATGTTGTTCTTGTAGTTCATATGGTAGGTTCACATGGAGATAATATCCTGATATGGGCCACGGTCAATATTTGGTATATAGCTCCAAGTCATCAATTTTTAAAAGAGTGTATTATCGTTTTTCAGGTTTTGGTACATAAGTAAATGTTATCGTTTTTTGAAGAGTGTATTATCGTTTTCCAAGCCCCAGCTCAATTTCCAAAAAATAGAGACCGCTCGAATACTACTCTCCATTAACCTAAATTTTGGCTGTAGCTCATATGTTAGTTGTACTACCGGGAATACACGCAAAACTGTGGTAAAATCTTATGGTAAAATTTCATACGTAACTTGACCCCAGTATACCCCAGTCATATCGTAAAATCATTGATAACAATATATGATCAAGTTACCTATGAATTTACCATAAAATGACTAGGGGAATAAACATTCATTAACCAGCTATTTTAGGGGACCTAGGGTGCCAGGGTTTTGACTCATGGCCGTGTATTGATCATGAACAAATGTCAATAACTAATATTAAATAATGATGGTGATAATGATAATAGGTATTGACTGGATGATGAATAATGAATTGTGAATAATGAATACTGACAACAACAAAAGATAGCAAACATAATATCTAATGATCAATGATGAAAATAAATCGTAGCAAACAATTGTAATATCTTCACTGGATTTCAATGGAATGGACTTCATGAAAGGGGGGTCGGTCGAAATCTAAGACCCTGGAACGCAGATTTTAATCATGTTTATCATGAATCTTAATCATCCATTCTTGGGGGTACCCAAGTTTGACCCATATCATTGTATTCGCATTGATATGGAATCCCTATTTCTTCATGGTCATCATTTCTCCAAATGTTTGATTTTCCCATCTTCTTCCCTATGTTTCCCATATTTTTCTTGATTTTCCCTATGCTTCCCATATATTGAGAACCCCAATGGACATTCCGCGTCTGGTACAACATGGACCGCGCCTTTCACGCCATCGTCTCGCTCTTGGAGCTGAAATCTCTTCTCCCAGCGACTCTCCAACCTATCTCCCAGCGACGGGATGTGACCATCAAAATCCGGTTGAAACATCACAAGACAAATATCTATTGAATAGGATTATAAAAAACACCAACAGTATGACAATGAATATACCAAATGAATGGATGTAATACTCAAACAGCCCAAACAGCCCAAATTTATATGGGTTTAACATGATTTAACATGATTTAACATGATTTAACATGATTTAACCCCCCAAACATGATGTCTATCGCCAAAAATAGATGCATTGAATCACCACAAAGATCTGGATCTAACTTGATCAACTCACTGTGGGCATTTCGTCGGCGGGATCCGACTTATCTACGCAAAATAGAGATATTTCAGCTGATAGAAGCAAGAAAACTAACACATATTATATATATATTATGTTATAGTATGTTATAGTTATATTCTATTCTATTATATTATATTATATTATATCTTAACCCCGCCTAAACTGGCAAGTGGGGTGGACTGATCCTGACATTTTTTCAGCCCAGCTTTCATGTTGGATTTTGAAAAGCTTACCTTGTGAATCTTCACATGTGCGCTATTCTAGGCTCCAACAAGAGCATAAAGGCACTACAAATCTACAATGTGTTTAGGTATACACAGGATGAACGTCTTGGGCGGTCCACTACTCAGAAATGCTCAATGCACCCGGTGCTCTGTTAGGTACTGAGCCAAAGCAAGTGATCCTTCTCTACGATTTCAATTGTGGTTGACAAACATGTCAACCCAAATGGATTGAACGGAAGACCCTCCTCCAACCTCAAAATAAAACCAGAGGGGACGCTCGCTGATTTTCAGGTCGGTCTCTGTTGCATGATATGATATGCCTTACATTGGGCATCTGGATTTCACAATCATACTGTGTAATCAACTCGTTTTCTATCTTTTGGAGGCTGATGGGCAGTTACCCATGGTCTGTCAGGTATTAAGATCATGTTAAAAATAGATACCCTCTGGTAAACTAACATAGCTATGAAAAATCACCATTTTCAATGGGAAAATCCACTATAAATGGCAATTTTCCATAGCTTTGTATGTTTACCAGAGGGTAATCATGGCAGATATGGGTGAACATCAAAGATCATCGAATTTCGGTTTATTTTCAGGATTTTCGGGCAGAATGCGGAACCCTTCGTAACGTCAAGAGGCTTCTCGAGTTCAACCTGGCCAGAAACGAATGGGAGATTTGAGGTGTTGTCATATGAGTTTATATGGTTCTATACCATGGGGTACAAACCACAAAAATGACTGGGAACCACACAAAATTCATACAACAAATATTCACATCTGTTGTAAGAACACAGTAAACACAGTAAACATCTGTTTCCAACATTTTCCAACTATGAAACCATCCGTGTTCGTTGAAGCATCCAATGTTGGTGGTAAACGAGACTGGTTTGTCTCGTCTGCAGGGGTAAGCCGCAAGTCTCGACACAACGCCAGTGTGACATTCAGGAAATGCTAGCCGTATGGGGGTTTCCCAAAATGGGTGTACCCCAAGTCACCATGGCTTTCAATAGTAAAATGATCTAATCTTGGATGATTTGTGGTACCCACAAATCAAGGAACCCATTTAATATGGGAATGATTCAAATTTCCCCAAACCAATCCAAACAACATCATTTTAAACCTGCTATTCTTGACAAAAAACCATCCAAACAGCCCTACAATTTTTGCTGATTACAGCTCTGTTTCGAACGAATTTCGGTGGGTCAAAATTCAAGCCCCAGGCAAGTGCGCAAGTGCTAGGCTGGTCACTTAAAAAGTGCCCATATTGGACCCATCCTGAGATTGCGAAAAATGATAAGATCATCTTTAATCTATCAATGTTCATCTTCAACTGGTGGGTTTAGGAGCAATACCATAGATTTACAAATCCATAGATTTCCTGGTCAGCATCCGGATAGACCATGGGAAGACACTGATACACATAGCAACATTGGGATACCCCAAGAAGCGTATGTTTATGGGTAAGAGGGATATAGTACTGTTTCGATAGGAAAAAAATGTGTTTGGACATATCTTATGTATACATATATATACTTGATTACATAAGATATATAATACCAGTATGACCAACAATATGAAAACACGGGATATATTGGGTCTAGAGATAGACTTCTGATGAACTAATTTTAAATAATATTGAATCGTATTGAATCATGCTAAAACATGTTCGCCCCAACCGGGACGTTGCTCCACACTTGCAATCGTCATGATCATCGTCATCATCATCATCATCACCACCACCATCATCATCATTACCACCATCATCATCATCATCACATTATCACATCATCACATCATGATCATCACCGCATTAAAATTTGCCACCCCCTCTGAACAATATGTTGATTGGGGTAATAACATCAACCTTATCTTCATAGCCACCTGAAGTCAGACCCGTCGCAACCTCAGGGTTGCTTCCATCACTTAAATCCCCGTTTAAATCCCCATCATTCAAATCATGATAAAGTCTCTGAAAAATCTGATTGAGCATCACGTCATCATCTTAAAACTCGTCAAACATCATCTTTAAGCCATCTGGTTGGTAGTTTCAACCCCTCTGAAAAATGATGGAGTTCGTCAATGGGAAGGATGACATCCCATATATGACATGGAAAAATAAAAAAAATCATGTTCCAAACCACCAATCAGATATATATATATATATAATATATATATATGCCATGGTTTTTCATGGCTTAAGCCGCGCCTGGGTCTCGGAGCTCGACCAAGTCTCGCGACCTATGGTCTCCAGCTTGGCCAAGCGCAGCGTCAGCTCGGAGCCGAGCTCCTGCGCATAGTTATTTTATTAACTACCCTCTGGTAAACATGGAGATTTAACCACTATTTTTATGGTGATTTAATGGTTAACAATGGTGAATAATGGGATGATATGGGGTTGTTTTTTAACTATCATGATTTAATGGTGATATTTCATGGGATTTAGTGGTGATTTAATAGACTTGAATGGTGATTTAATGGAGATATACCCTCTGGTAAACATACAAAGTTTGCTATTGAAAATGACCCAGTCGAAATAGTTGATTTACCCATTAATAGCATAGTGATTTTCAATAGCTATGTTAGTTTACCAGAGGCTATCCAATAATTCATCATGAAAGAGTTAATGATATAATGTCAACGTAGGATCAATAAACCCAACCCCCCCCCACAAGGTCAGATGGACCTTGTAAGGTCTTTCCTATAGTATCCCCCCTAAAAACAACGCCGCCTTGGAAGGGGTTGATGGGGCACATGGGCTCATGGGGGGTACCCTTTGGGAGCTATCGAAACTGATGATTTTTATAAAGAATTTAATTAGAATTCGATCATTTGGGGAATAGTTTTTTTAAAAACAAATCAATGATCAGCAGTGATGGATTCTGGTGTTCATGAGGTTTCAACTTGAGTATAGAATAAGGAAACCATTTGAAAATAAAGATAGTTGGAAAATAAAACAAAATGGGATTTCAGCGCTGGTGGTTGATTAATCATCCCAGGCCGAAAAGTTTATTAATCCAGGGGGACCACCTGTTTTTAAATGACATTTTTTGGGGGGGGGCAGTGGTGGTTGATTAATAAGGAAGGATTAATTCATCCTACCTTGACATTATATGATATAGTTATCTAATATTTCATATTAGTTAGTATTGTTCATATAAATAATATAATTTATTTATAGTTAATATAGTTATCTAATATGTATGAAAACATGTATCTAATATGTATCTGTATCAATATTGTTATGTTTAATATAGATATCTACAGGTAAATATAGTTAGATGCTGTAGGTATAACTTAAAAGTAAATGATTCTAACTATAGATGTTGACTATTAAGGTAAATGATTTAGGATCTAGTTGTGAACATCTTTAGTTAAGTCATTAGATGATTTAGTCATGTAGTAATAAATTAGTCATGTTCGGTATCTATAAGATGAACGACTGACTTTTAGATATAACTATAGGTATTTACAGGGAACTTTAAGTTTTTAGGGTTATAAATTTTCTGACTATGTAGGAAGTATGTGGGATGTTTAAATATGTTGCCTAGAGTTAACTGTAATATCATGTCAGCTTCCTAGTTCAATGACATAGGTTAGGACATTATATATTTAGGAATTATATATATATACATATATTCCCCCGGGAGGGGGGGCGCAGCTATGACCTGGCATGGCTGCGCGGGAATTAACCCGATATCCGGTTGCACGACTCCGGATGATATATACCTCCCTGGTCGGGGGGTGCTTCAGCCACCCCACGACTATGTCATGGCGCTCAGCGCGAACCTGGAACCTCCAGGCCTGTGGTGTTTACTTTGGCGCCTCGCCATACAGTTTTGGTTGGCGGCTGCTGCAGACGTGGCAGTCGCAACCCGCCAAACGGCGGGAGTTTTGTGGAGCTGAGCGCTTGGCCCAGCTTGTGTGAGGCAGGTGAGCTCGGTTCTTGCTATTGGATGATGAGGCGCTTCCATGGCATGGCACGCTGCGTGCGCTTGACGGCTGCTCTTCTTCAGGCCGTCTACCGCAGCTGCCTCTTTGCCTCGGTTGAGCACATCTTTCACTGGCTACCACTGGTTCACTTCAATGCGTGATGGGCGAGGGCCCGTCACCCAATTGAGTGCAGATGGTGCTAGACCATCCGTTAATGTACCCACGCCTTGAAGAGAGGCAACTTCTGCTGTGGCGGAAGTATGGTTTGGCGATGCCTGTGCGCTGTACCTAGTACAGCATGTTGGTGGATCAGTTGCTCACACTGATCATGACCTGGCCTTTGGCTACGTCGAGTTCCTTAGAAATCTCTCGCGCTCTGGCGCCCCGAAAGCTGCCTCCAGCCACTCACCCCGGTGGGCCCAGGCTGTGGCAGCGTTACAAACGCCCAACAACAACAACAACAACAACAACAACAACAACATATACATATATTTAAGCATAAGGTGCTGTTTTCAAACATCATATATTATAATCTGTCTAACAGTATACCATGATAATAAAAATCAATTTAAAAAATAGTGCTAGGTGATGCTACTAATCAACAACAAAAACAAAATATTATATGATAGGTAGTAATCGTAATAAACCTATATATTACTCGAGAATCAGAATCCATTTTTTGATCATACCACAATCAGTCTGATAATCGTCATCTCATAATCCAAATCGCGGCTCCGATAGAGCAGTCAAAGTGGGAAACACGAAAAATACGGCATCTTTCGGGAGATGGTCATATTCCATAATTGCCCTCTGGTTATTTAACATAGCCATGGAAAATCACCATTTTTGATAGGTAACCAATCTATAAATGGGCTATTTTCCATGGCTATGTTAAATAACCAGAGGGTATATATAATTGCCCTATGACCATGGGTTTACATGACATTATCTATGATAATTATATAATGATCCTATCCATTTGTTTATCATCTTGTAATGAAATACTATACATGATTCGGTTTACCCTGCAGGTATGAAATTGATGAATGATTCTGACAATTATCATCCCCAAAATCCTCCAAATTCCAAAAATTATATATCATCCCATCATTCTGAGAATTACCCTCTGGTAAACTAACATAGCAATGGAAAATCACCATTTTTAATGGGAAAATCCACTATAAATGGCAATTTTCCATAGCTATTTGGACATAACCAGAGGGTATCATCCCATAATCCAAGGCGCCATAGCAGCTCCAAAAAAGATAGAAAAGTGGGAAACCCTAATTCAACATGTCTTCTCAACATCCCCTAATTCATACCCTCTGGTTATGTCAAAATAGCTATTGAAAATGGCCAGTTATAGTGGATTCACCCATTAAAAATGGTGATTTTCCATAGTTATGTTAGTTTACACCAGAGGGTAATCCATAAATATCATCTCATAATCCACGGCTCCTCATGTTATAATGATAAATATCCCATGAATAATGATCCAAAAATCTCTAATTATTCACTAATGATATAGGTATACATGGTTATGTCCTCATTACCCATAGTCCATCCAGTACTGGATTAAATAGTCCATTGATATTTATACATATTTATACCAGTAAAAGATTAGTGATAATGTACCATTTATCTGTCATCATGAATTTCTCATTATCATTATTATCATTATACAATATACCATTATCATGTATATCATCTCATATCATTATGTTCTATCATCACAATTTGTTACCATATATCCATAATATACATTAATAATGATTATTCATATTAACCCATTAAATTCACCATAAATATGGATGTATTTAAACATCAAACCGTTATCCCATGTATACTTTCATCATCATTCTCGGTAAATTGTAATATTTCACTAACCTGAATTGTTGGGCCATTTGGGGATGATTTCTCTTATTAAACATGATTCATCCCATGTATAATTTCATCATTATGACATATATGGTTGCCATTATGTTATTTTCCACATATGTTCCATTATCATTGTCCCATATAGGTATCCCATTATTTTCCATTGTCACTGGGTTGGTGGTATACCTACCCCTCTGAAAATATGAAAGTCATTTGGGATTATTCTTCCCAATATATGGAAAGTCATAAAATTCCATGGTTCCAGTCACCAGCAACCAGTGATTATTAACCATTCTTAACCATTATTAACCATCATTATCCCACTATTTTCCATTAGCATTGGTACCTCATCACCGATCCCTTTGGTTTTCGCTGACTCATCCCGTGGGCGACGTCGTTTCCGCGCTCCTTGAGATTTTCCTCGCTGCGATGTCGCAGGTCCCGCAGCTCATCTGCGAGATCCTGGAGCGAGAACTCGTTTCACGACACAGCCGGGTGCTTTGACCAAGCCGAAATGGGACATTGTTTTGAAGCGATTACCCATTGGTCCATTGGTTGTTTAACATAGCCATGGAAAATCATCACTTTAAAAAAGGTACATCATCTATAAATGGGTCATTTTCCATAGCTATGTTGAATCACCAGAGGGTATTGGGTATATGATACTGTATATTTATTGTTTTGATCAATAGTTGGGTTGCCGGTGTTTTGGAACAAGTTATCCAACTATTATTGTTTTTTAATCAACACAAAGTTGGCAAAGTATGGCAAAGTGGTAATTTGACATGATTCGAGAAAAACATGGGAAGACTATCAAGACACATCAGCAACCATGATGCTTGAATGAACAAAGTCTGGGTTTTGACTAGCAAAACACGGGGAGATTGAGGAGGAACAAATTCAGTTTACCATGTTTGGTGCAGTTTCTTTGTCTTTATTCCACAGTAACATGGAGATATATCAGACATTACCAGCTGGCAATGTACCTTTTAAAGAACACAAAAAGTATAGAGACTCGACAACTTGGGAATTTCTAGTGCTACGTTTAAGTATACTGTATACCCAGGAACAACATATTTTACCGCCCGCACACTACTGAACAAGCATCAGTGTACTTACAACAATGGATACAAATGTGATGCCCATGGGAACGCACCAGAGACTGTTGCTGTTTTCTCAACAGCAAATTAAGTTTTGGGGCACCATAATGTACCGTCACAACATGTAAGTGGTTGGTGGTTTCAACCTCTCTGAAAAATATTAGTCAGTTGGGATGGATTGTCCCATATATTATGGAAAATAAAAAATGTTCCAAACCACCAACCAGATACAGTCACAACACGTAACAACATGATAGTCATAGTGTGAAATCACAGCTCTCGGCAAACGCTTTCACCAACACATGCTGAATGATTAAGTTGCCATGCAATCATTGCAGCCATTTAGATCCACAAACATTAAAAAGGAGTTTATATAATTGGATTTTAATCACCCTTGTTGTATACCCCAAGGCTTGTGAGCCATTAAAATACCCCTATCCCATCTGATTATACTAGTTGGTTGAAAACGGTTTGCCTAATATGGGTTATTATAATCACAAATAAAAAAATGTAGTACAACTCCTTATAATATAACTGGTTGGTGGTTTCAACCCCTCTGAAAATATGAAAGTCATTTGGGATTATTCTTCCCAATATATGGAAAGTCATAAAATTCCATGGTTCCAAACCACCAAACAGTGATTATTAACCATTATTAACCATCATTAACCATCATTAACCATTATTAACCATCATTAATCATTATTAACCATCATTAACCATCATTAACCATCATTAACCATTATTAACCATCATTAATCATTATTAACCATCATTAACCATCATTAACCATCATTAACCATCATTAATCATTAACCATTATTAACCATCATTATCCCGTACTAAACCAATGTATCAACCAATCAAAGGTATCTTTTCATGGTGAAAAATTGTTGATCTGGAGCCTCGGTGGAAAATCGGTGCCACCGTCGCAGCCACCGAGCCACCGCGTCCTGTCGCAACTTCGACAGCTGCTCGGAGTCAGCGTTCGCCTGCATGGCCGGAACCCGAAACGCCCACGCCAGAGGAATGTTTTTCGACAAACCACAATAAATATTTGAGATGTATGTAACAAACAGTAATGATTGTATACATATATGATTATAAATATATATATATATATATAAATTATATATGTATATAGTTCATTATAGTTCTATGATATTCTATGTACTGGGCATATATGCAAACTACACCAATCACATTTGAAAATCTTTGCTTTGCACTGGTCCCAGTCTGGGGTATTCGACAAAAATATCACCTACTGGGGCCACCACTTCCGCTTCAATCCCGACATATCCCATGTCTGTTTTTTCCAAATACATTTGTAATTGCTCAATATTGCTCATACAATCTCTGGTAGAATTACGTAAATTTCCCTATGTTTACAATGAAACCCCAATGTTTGGTGATCAATGAATTTCTTTCCGGTGGCTAGAAATTTCTGCAGAACAATTTCCTAAAGTACAACTCCGTCCATACAATGTGGAATTACACCTTGAACCCAGAAAAATCATGTGGTTTTAGTATTTTTTCTTTTACCAAAAAATATGGTTTCCTGACCCAACTGTGTTTAGTAAACATGTTCCTTATCTCAATGTTTCTTGGGAACATCGAAAAACCGGAGACCATCCATTTTCCCATTAGCGCCTGGCCTGCTCCAGGCGCTCCAAGCGTTCCTGCACGGAGACGAGGCCTTGGTTTCTGTCACCGGGGCCATGGGAAAACAGATGGAAAAGTCACCCAGAAGATGGAAAAGCCATAGAAAAACATGGTGGAAAACACCAAAAAAACAGAAAAAACATCTCGAAAACATGGTGGAAAACGGAAAACATGGTGGAAAACACCAAAAAGAAAAGTAGCTGGTTCTTCAATAGTGACCTTTTCAGCCACAGACGAGGTCACTTAACAAAAAGGGTCACAAAAAACCACCTCATTTTCAGGGTCACTTTGAAGATGCCAATGCTCAGGGTAAGTCTGGGTTGTAGAAAAATATAACTGGAAAATGTTAATTTACTGGAGGATTGGATATTATGTTGCCATAAGAAATGAATCATAACATAGTTTATTTTCCAAGATGGTAAATTTACTTTATCCTCCAGAAAATTAACATAACTATGGAGAATAAACTATGTCTCGATCATTTCCAAATGGGAAACCCATGGATTTTCAGAGCTTTTTGTATGTTTTCTGGACCCTGGAAGTCTAAATTGGAAACATGGTAAAACCTGGGGAACACATTGAAATATATGGACATATATGGTCATATATGGAAATAATATGAAATAAGTGGTTTCAACTGCCGAAAGAACCTGATTCTGCTTGGTGGTTGCTCCTGAATGGAGGCTCGTCGAGAAATCCGTAGATCGAGCTGCTGTTGGGCATCAGCTTGCAGAGCTTTCCGAAGTCGGCCGTAACTTCTTCCCCCAGCTGCATTCGTTCCATCAGCTGTTCCAAAGCTTCATGCAATCCTGCAGATGGAACTGATCATTTTCAGGAGAATACCTGCTGGATGTTAGCGGCCCAAGCCAAACATCTCACGCTTTAATGGTGGACGGAAGTTGAAGTTAGGTTATTTAAATTTGTCCAGATGTTGTACATGTCATATGTGCCATGTTCAAGTCACATGCGATTCATGTGGTACTGTATGGACATACATGCCATGCCATGGAAATATAAATCTCCATGAAAATGGATTGATGATCATCCCCCTTGATACAGGTGCTAACCGGGCGTAGACTAATGTAAGTATGGAAAATCATATGGAAAACCTATTGACCTATTCTTGTCCTAGGACTTTACTGGTCTATTCTGTGTGGAACTTCCATATAAATCCGCTGATTGACTGATATTCTTATTGCTCCTCTCCTGTTTTTCCATGAACACAACTGTGCTGTTGCTCCACAGCAAAACATTCAGCCACTGGCCTAGAAACTAAGTGCGCCTGAGTCTCATCTTTAGCTTGGCATGAAACAAATCCCTATCAAATTGCAGCAAAACATATGTAAGAAATTCACCATTGAACTACACTTGTCCAAGGCTTAAGAACCACGGGTATATTTCCAAGGCTTAAGCATGGTTTAAACATGTTTAAACTACTACTTTTGTTGGGTTTTTCCAAGGCTGTTGAACTTCAACAGTGGCATCCGTCCAAGGTCAACACTGGCAGAAGCTTGGGACACTTCATTCGCCAACTTCGACTGCACAGCTGACCGACACTTGGGGATCAAAATGGAACCAACCAATTGATCATTGATATAGGTTAATTAATGTTAATTATAAACTGATCATTGATCTAGGTAAATTGCATTTTTTTTTCATCATCCTGAAGTCTTTGACTAGTTTGGGATACTTACAGCACCCTAATCCAAGCGTTTTGGTGCCAACACCCCAAATACAAGGTAAATTGGGCAAATTAAAAAGGCAACATGACCAATTCCCGCCCTGCTTGTGACTATCATACACCTCTAACACATTGGGGCATCCCAGAAAATTGATGTTTGAAGAAATCATCATTTCTTAACCATCCATTTGGGAGGAAGATCGATTTTACATGGTGTTTCCCATATACAAGTGTCACCCAAAATTTAAGCACCGAACTTTGTGGTCACAGTGTGCAATGGTGCCCTTCACCAATTATTTTTGGTTTCAAACCTTGAACAAATTGGGACTATAAACGATTGAAACGCCCTTTGAATAGCTAATACGAGAAGGGATAGAAGCGGCACAAATGGAAATGCAACCGTTTGACCAACACCAACGAAAATGCGGTATGTTCCAAAGGTGGGACGCCTGCAAATCTATTTGACAGTGTTTTTTCTGGTTTTGGAAACCAATTCGATTTTAATGCCCAAATTTGGGACTTAGTCTAAGCTGCGGGAAATCAAGAGGTATTTTGGACATGTTTGATCTTGATGCGAGGCTACTTGCGAATTGGCAGTAGTATGCTACTATCTGGGTAAATTATAATATTTCACTAACCTGAATTAAGGCCATTTGGGGATGATTTCCCTTACTAACCATGATTCCAGTGAGGTCGCAGTGAGGTCGTTATAATTTACCCAGTACTATGGTATACTATGGTACTATACAACAAAGATTTTTGAGCTGTCGCCAAAACAGCTGACGAACTTCACCCAGGTTTCCGGAGCCTGGCACTGGCAACATCCCGCATATGTTGTAAAACGAGTTGCCGGTTCCTGGATGCCATATATTTCCATGAGCGTTTTTCATGCTGTTTTATGACATGTGTGGATGCTATATATTTTGGTGTCCCCTACTTAGTTAAGTTAGTTAAGGTACCTGAAGAAGTAAATTCTTAGACCCACAAAAAGTACGGCACTTCTGCTGGGCAAAAGATTGCCATCAAGCGCGGCCTAGGGTGTGAATTGCGAACATAGAAAAACAAAAACTTAGGTGATATATTGATATTTGGTTGAGTGTGATTTTCTTTCGGAAAGCTGGCAGTGAAAAAAACAATAATAGCGGACAACTAGAACATTTCTTTCTTACGACGTACAGAGGCTCCTTTAATGGTGATGGTTGTCGCGCGTTGTACTTAAATATCTGAAATTTTGTTTTACTGTGTTCCACATGTTCCTACCATGGCTTGCAACTAAATTCTCGCGCTACCCAATTCTACCATTTTGGGTGGTTCTGGAATCTGTATCTCATTTGGTACAAGGTCTCGGTAAACGGTCTTTTCAAGAGATATCTCTATGCAAGGTTTCCCTGATGATCGCTCTACACGGCGGTAGCCGCGGTATCTCATAAAGGAAGGTCTGTACCAGATCAGACTCACAAGATCTCCCAAGCAGGCCATGTATGTATCACAGTTATGGACCTTGACAGTTATAAAATCCCATCACTCCTATCACTGAGGCTATATGTCACTACAAGCCCATTGACAGTTGTTAAGGGGCCATACCCTCTGGTAAACTAACATAACTATGGAAAATCACCATGTTTAATGAGTAAATCAACTATAAATGGCCATTTTCAATAGCTATGTTTGTTTACCAGAGGGTAACTGTATAATATATTCAACAGGGTGACTCGAAAAGGGGGGCACCCGTTATAACCATGCGCCTCAGCTTGACTCGTCGCTCCGTCTTCTAATCGCCTACGGGCAACAAGATCTGGGCAAGTCTTAAAAAGAAACACACATTGTGCAACTATGTACCCTCTGGTTATGTCAAAATAGCTATTGAAAATGGCCATTAATAGTGGATTTTCCCATTGAAAATGGGGATTTTCCATAGCTATGTTAGTTTACCGGAGGGTAGAAGATGTGGTATATATGTATAGACAATAATATGAACATCACATGTCTATCTATCTGCCTACCTGTCTATCTATCTATCCATCCATCCATACATCTATATGTCCATCTATCCATCCATCTATCCATCTATCCATCCTTCTATCCATTTGTCCATCGATTCATATACAATGTTATTCATATGTTACATATATATATATATGTATAAAACTATATATATAAACAAAATGAAAATTATATAATACACTATAAATGGACAACTCCCTTCACTTTTCAGACGCTCGGATTCCCGGAATCAGATCTTTAAAAAGTTACGGCTTGTTCGCCGAATCTTGGGCGACGCCGTGCCAGTTTACTCGTGTTGCGTCAGCGGAAGTTCTCTTCAAAGTAGACTTCGTAATTTGGTAGATATAATAATATATGGTAGATATATAATGATATATTCTATATGATATATAATAATATATTCTATATGATATATATATATAGTTCATGGGGATAGTGCAGTCCTTAGTATTGTTTAGTGGGACTTCACTTGGAGTATTCGTTAATGAAGTATACTTCTCCCCCATTCCAAGTATTGTTGATCTTACTAGTGCTAAACGAATCGGGGAATGGGATGATTATTACTAGTGATTATGGATCATTCCCGAAAATTCCCTGCTAAGCACCAGGGTAAAAAGTAGTGTTGGTTGGCAAAAATCTTGATACTTGGTAACAAAAAGTAGTTTTTTTGTTGATTTGCTAAAATGAAGTAATGTTGGTAGCAAAGTAGTGTTGGTAGTAAAGATTTTCTTTGTCTCCAAATAATGATTACTGGGGATTTCCACGATGGTGACAATTCTCCCAAATATCAAGCCCTGTAATCATAGACCACCCATCATTATCAATTATGTCAGTTATATCTAATCACTTTATTATATCATCGTTATATACAGAAATTTATATATACGTATACATAATGTCTGATGGTTAAAAACATCCTCTGGGGAATTCACCTAAAGGGTTGAGGTGTCTGATTCTATAGGTACAAAATCAGGACCCCCAAGAAAAAGATGTTCTTTTCTATATAAAATCAAGACCCCCAAGAAGAATTCAACTGTACACAATCGAGGCCTCCAAGGTTCAGTTTGTATGAAATTTTAAGTAAAAAAAGGGTCTACATTCTACACTGGGTAGGCTGGGTTGGCTACATAATCAAGACCCCCAAGCCTCACAGTGCAAAAATCGGAACAAGGGCTTGATTTTAGGGTGCATTTTAGCATGTTACAATGATTGAACCCCAAGCCTTGGCTCGAGTCTAGCATAAAATGGAAATCAATATAAAATAAGAACCCCCAACACCATATGCACCAAGCTAGCCTTAATATAAAACGTAGACCTCCAAGCTCGAGTTTGACACCCTGAGACCTCTATAGAATCACAGCCCTCCCCAGTGGAGCCCAACCACAGAGGGAAACCACTGTATAAAATGAACCTGTTTTTGGAGCTCAACCCCCTTGATTTTATACAGCTATTTCCCAGGGGGATTTAAAAACAAACATACAATGTCATTTTACCACTGAGATTCTCATTTGTCGACCATGTTCCCATCAGAAAAGAATCTCAATGTCCATGAAGTAACTGACCGCTAGGGTTCTTGACACTCTTCAACTGAGCATTTTGCACCCTTCAAGGTGGTTTTCATTCGAAGTGAGGATGGGTTCAACTGCTGTTTGTTGGTTAACGAGCCAGGTGCCTAGCAATCCCCAGTTGACATTGCTGAACCTCATTCGGATGATTATTCCTCTGGCTATTGAACGTAGCGAACTGGAAAATCACAGTGTTTACCCTCCAGGAAAGTAACATAGACCCTGCCAGATAGGGGTTGGAAGGTTAATTTCTAACAAACATGGGTTATTTTCAGGGTCTATGTTAATTTACCAGAGGGTAATAGGTAAGTCACAAATCTTCTATATAAATGTCCCATTTTTCATAGTAAGAGAACATCTGCAGGAAACCCTACCTTTTCCCATGCATTTTTCCAGGGGGTCCTGTAAATGTTCCCTCAATACAATGAGTTTTTGGAATGACCTCTGCCGCATGCCCTAATTAATGTTGGCAATGAGCTGGGCTCATCAATCCCCATCAAAATGGCCACGTCAATCATCAAACTACCCGTAACTACCAGTGACCCAGTTTTTTTTTATTCTCAAAATGGCAGCAACGTTTCAAACCATGAAGCAGCAAACTACAGTACCCTGAAAAACAGCAATGGTACTTCACTGTAAACCTATCCCAACTGTTGAGTACCTGTTTAATGATGGTTAAATCATAAAAATCGAGCTAAATCAGATCAATTCACTGACCTGGCGAGGTCGCACACCAAGCTGTTGAGTTGCTCAGGAGGACCTATACAAATTCCCACGAGATTCCCCATAAATCTTGAATTACCCTCTGGCAAACTCAAATCGCTATTGGAATCACCCATTTCTAGTTGATTTAGATATTCAAAGTGGCGATGTTCCATAGCTATGTGAGGTTACCAAAGTGTAGTGGGAAATTCGACATTTTCGAAAAATCCGCCATGCGCAACCAGCTCGGAACCTGATGGACTTCTCGTGGGCAATGACTTTGGGAGAAATCTCCTCGCAGATCCAGGGACATCCAGGGACCCAGCAGAACTTACTTGGCTTGGGGGTACTGTGGTGGCTTGGGGGCTTGGGGGCTGGCTTGGTATTTTCAAGAATTTGGGATCTAATCAACTTGAGAAAGTTTCAGAAAGGCGCAAGACTGCCAAATAATCAACAAGAAAATGGGGATATCATGAAATATACCTAACAATCCGTGTCCCTTCTAATCAACACATGGGTATGTTCATGAATGAGTAATTATAGCAATACCATCCAAAAACACTGCTGAAACGAGCAACAGCAGGTACTGGTGCAGTGACCACCTTAAGAATCGATTCAAGCAACAGAGATGGGGGCAATAGTTGCGGTGAAAAACCAACAATGTATGTCTTAACCAACCATGCCACGTTGCAAGCAAGGAAGGTAACAACACTAAAACAATATGTGTTTTTGATCAACAAGAACAGGGCATCTGAGTAAAGCCACAATATGTACTAACGACGAACTACTTTATCGAAGCACCTGCCAAAAAAAAACAGCATTTGGACAGCTGGATTTTGATCACCATTCGACGGTTATTATATCACCAACTTCTAGGACGAAAATCATCACATCGAAGTATCACAACCGACTTTAGAGACTCTGCAGGTTTAGTATGGTTGGTATATTCCTCCCCTCCATTCATCCGGAACATAAATAACAATCACCGACTCAAGATTTAGCCCGGTTTTTGTGCGCGTTGTAGCCTCTCCTTTAGCTGCACAATCAGAGAACTGAGCCCCAACTTGTCTTCTTGCGGCTCCTGTCTGATCGGGCTCGACATTCCCCTAAATTCGCTGAGTAGTTCTTGCACCAAAAAAAATGGTAGATAGTCCAAATTTGACTGGGGGTACAATAGATTGGGTTGAACTCCACCAATATCTCTCTGCGTCTATCAAATTACCACTCTGCATTTCGCACATCCGGAACCTTCAAGTCCGAACAATGGCAGCCAGACCTTCTATCGTTTCTTGGACATCCAAAGGTGGTGGGGGTACCATCTCACAACATCCCTGGAAAGGATGCCATTCATATGAGATTACCATCTGTTTATTTAACATAGCCATGGAAAATCACCATGTTTAATAGGTAAACCATCTATAAATGGGCCATTTCCCATGGCTATGTTAAATAACCAGAGGGTAACTATTCCAGTGCGTACAACATATGACACCCGAAACGACAAGAAACACCAGGGTTTTGGCTGTCTTGTTGCCTCGCAAAGCACAAGTTGACATCTATGGTGATATAGGTGTGATTTCCAAGATTTCTCAAACCCGCGATCTGCAGCATCCGGTCGTAGCATCAAATCTTTCCAGGCAACTGTAAATCAAAAGCCAAAGATGTTGGTCTATTTCTGTCTATATATTTATATATGATATCATCATAGTCATATTCTGTATATTATATTTATACATGCAGACACATATATGTATATATATAATCATATAGAGAAATATAATGAACACAAACAGTTGCAAACAATAGATATCGGATAGAGACAACATGAAAATTGATCACAGAAGATATTTCGAGAAGCTACGGATACTATAGATATCAGATACTTACATGGAGCTATAGCCGCTAGCCATGTTAAATGATATTCATCTACCATCCCTCCAACAAATCAAGCCTGTCATGAGTTGGGAGTTGCTTTCAACTATTTTCTATTCAGAACATGTTGTTTTTTTCAGGGTCCAGCTCTTAGTGTGGGGGCCCCGATGTTATATTATAATGTTGGCAACCCAAGGCCATAAACCTACCATTTGGGGATGGTTTATAACACCCATAAAATGGTGATTTGGGGGATTGTCTACTATTGAACTATTGGGTTCACCACTGTATACTACTGATTTGGAACAGATTAAACCAATAGACCAATTGGCTCCCAGTTACAGCCTAAAGATCATGGTAGTTATATCATGTACCCTCTGGATCCCTCTGGTAATTTCACATAGCTATGTTTAATGGCACAATTAAAAATGGTGATTTTCCATAGATTGCTATGTTTTACATAGCTATGTTGAAGTACCGGAGGGTAGATCCCATTTCTAATCTGGTTGGTGGTTTCAATCCCTCTGAAAAATATGCGAAAGTCAGTTGCAATGATTATTCCCAATATATATATATATATATGTAAAAAATGTATAAAAATCTTCCAAACCACCAACCAGTAATCATTAACTCCTCATTCCTTCAAGGTTTTTCACCACCCATGTTGACCCACTCATGTTCGCATCAAATCGCTGGATGCTCAGCCCTTGGTGACCCGTGTCCCTCCTGGAGCCGTTTGATCTCTGCTGTCATGACCTTCATCTGGTCCTCGGCAGCCGCTGGTCATGACTCTGACAAAAAAGAACATGGGTCAGTAACACCCGAAAAAGATAGAAACATGATGAAACAACATGAAGAGTAAATGGGAATACCAGAATACCCAATTGTGGTTCCCTAGTTGTGGTTTATATGAAAAAAAACTATGCTTCTTGGCATTATCCTAGTAGATTTTTACTGTTCTACCTGGTGGGGGATTGCTATCATCATTCAGAACGCTTGAAACAAGTTCACTTGGTGAGGATTTTCACTACTACTGACTACCATGTACGATGACGTCGTTGTTAGGTCATTATTCAAGATATATCATGGCGGATTACTGGTTTACCAAATTCATACCCTCTGGTAAACATACAAAAAACTATGGAAAATCACCATTCTTAATGTCTTAATGGGAAAATCCACTATAAATGGCCATTTTCAATAGCTATGTTAGTTTACCAAATTCATAACCGGGTGGTCAGTTTCACCACTTACAATTCCTGGGATGCAAATCAAAGCAGGAGTGATATCATGCAGATTTCACACACAAAACTGGTGATATATCCGCATATATCCGCAAAAATAGCAAAGCTCGACGAAAATGAGATGAATCAAATAGAGAATATGTATTTCAAGATATTTCAATCAACAAATGCTGGTTTCTTCAGCAACCAAACTGGGACGCAACCAATACATCTGAAAATTTGACGCATAACAACCTTAATTCCAAGCATAATTAGGCACTAAGTTAGGGGCATCATACCCTCTGGTAAACTAACATAACCATGGAAAATCACCATTTTGTATGGGTAAATCCACTATAAATGGCAATTTTCAATAGCTATTTTGGCATAACCAGAGGGTAACACATTAAACATGCTTGGGTCGCAGAATTGGTGGTACAACCAGTCCTTTTCGTGAAGCAACACTCCTTGAGATGAGGGAAAAACTGAGCCATTAAACATATCCCTATCCCATGAAATACTCGTTGGTTGAAAACAAATTCCGAATCCTATGGGTTCATAACCCCTAATAAATTACTAGTATAAGTCCCAAATTAGCCAATCAACCATGATGTTTTTCAATTATATCATGTTCTATCTCCATTTTTGATGGGTAACAATAAGTAAACAACCATCTAATTCCTTGTTTCATAACCATTATAACCAATCATCCAAGCTCTTCAACCCATGGCTCAACGACATGGACGACATCAATGCCCTGGGTCCCCCTGGGTCCCCCTGGGTCCCCCGGCCTCAAGCACTGCCAGGGCGGATGGTGCCGCAAAGTCCTGTGAAAACTCGGGGGAAGACGGAGCTCCGAGAGGTGAACACCAGCGTTGGTAAGGGAACAAATAAGGGATTATCATGGGACAACTAGGACATCCATGGATATCTAAAGTAACTCAGGGGAGGATTTTTGGGATATAATATATATATATATATACATATGTATATCTATATATATATAGTTGGAAACACTGTAGATAATGGGATTAGAATGGAATGTTCACAATCTACCAACTGGTGAATCATGTCCTCAGTATGTAGAGACCAAGCAAAATCATTGCTACGATCTGTGGCTGAGTCAACAGGGATCATCCTAAGATGTGAGATGACATGGTTAACCAACCTATGACAGGGATGCCATCAACTCATCCACCAGTCGATCAACCGCACAGACGTTGGTTGAGGATGGGATTCCCCGAAGCGTTCATGGATTGTGACAATCCCCATCCCCTTTCGTAATCATCAATCGCCAATGATCATTTATCATACATCCCAATATTCACTGCTTAAAATCCATGCAAATTATACTTGTTGGTGGTTTTTCGCCACCCCTCTGAAAAATCATGGAGTTCGTCAGTTGGGATGATGACATGACCCCAACTGAATGGAAAGTCATAAAATTCCATGGTTCCAAACCACCAACCAGTATATCTATGTTTACGTACAGTAGGTTTTGACCATGGTTTTTGACCATAAACTCCATGTAAATTATAGTTAAACATGGTCTTCACCATGGTTTTGACCATGGTTTTGACCATGGCTCACTTCACACTACACCCATTTCAGCACCTCTACTGCCACGGGTTCCATGACGCCCAAAGGGGGCTCCAGGGCCGGGCGCGAAGCCTCAGACACCATTTCTACTTGCTGTGGGTTATAACCCTGGTGAATTCAATGGGATAAGTAGGCTTAATCCACTTAACTGGGGTTATAACATGTTATAACTCACTTACTGGGATTTTTTGTCCACCAAGTAGGGGTATACCCAATTTCAAACACCCAACTGGAGATGATTTCATCCCACTTGGGAAGTAGCTTACGACCAAAAAGCGACGGGTGGACCAAACCTATGGGAGCCCCGGAGGCTTTTTTTTCTGCTTAAGAAAATGCAATATGATCTTCAGAAACACGGGTTTTTTTCAGGGGATCTAAGTTACCTACCCTCTGGTAAACTAACTTAACTATGGAAAATCACCATTTTCAATGGGAAAATCCACTATTTCTATGGTCATTTTCAATGGCTATTTTGACATAACCAGAGGGTACTCTAAATCAACTTAGCTGCGCTGATCCCATGCATTCAACTAAGTATTACTGTAGCCCCCAGCGGGATTTCCCTACGCAACAACTGACTTGAGAACCATCCAAAATTGTAATATCTAGATACTAAAAATGGACCATACTTGGTTCACCTATTTGAAGTGTATCTGAAGTGTATATATGGAGTAATCCCATAGATGGAGACTTACCAACCAGGCTTATTGACCAGATACTAAGAAGGATGATCCTTCAAACAGGGGGAAAATGATCAGAGTATCTTAAACTATGTCAAACGAACCCTATGGGAGGCTTCAAACACCAACTAGTTGCGGATTCAACTACAAGTCTGTTTTGGTGTTGTCCTTTTTTTAATTGGAAGTATCTACCTATCCTTTTCAGAAAAATGCGTCTACGGATGTCTACTGTAAAAAAACGCGCGACGTCTACATCAATATCTAGCTATTCCGCCCGTCCATCTACAGGTTATGATCTACCTATACTGGTTGGTGGTTGAGCCTACCCCTCTGAAAAATATGAGTCAGTTGGGATGATGACATTCCCAATATATGGGAAAATAAAATTCATGTTCCAACCCACCAACCAGTACATCGATGTTTATATTCACTACGAATGCCTGACCCTTCACTGGGGGGGTGTTCAACCCCACAATGAGCAGGAACAGGCCATGGACCTCGACTCTAAGTGGCCTAAGGACGACAAGTCACCACAACAAATCCTGGCAACATATTTGGACTGCTTAGAAAGAAATGAAAAAAACATATATACATATAACACACATAATTATATATATATACACATACGTATATGTTTATTTAGCCCAACAACCACAATCGGTATTCCAGTGCATTCCTGTTCTTGGGGTTGCCTCTCCTAGCTCTTGGAGCCCCCAAGATAGAAAATGATGGCAAGGAAACTCACTATAAATGGATGGTTTTTTTATGGGGGATATCAACTATAAATGGTAAACGGATTTCCGGATTCCTGACTTACAGTAAGGGACTTGGATGCTCCCAAAAAACCAAACAAATCACCTCTGAATATCAAAAAACTGGGTAAATTATGGTAAATTTTCGGGTATCTGCTACAGTATCCCCCAGTTGCGTCGATTTTTCATGGCAGGCCCATATGACTTGGGGCCACCATGTGGTCATTTCTTGTGGCCTTCCCCGTCATGGGCCAAGGATCGAAGCGGACGTCTTCCACCACTTGCTCTTGGTATTCCACCCTGGCACCGTCGATCTCAACGGCTCTGAAATGGGACCCTTAGGGGGGGCTCCAGTCAGAAGTGGATATACCCAAAGGACAAACATACAAAAAACGATGGAAATTCACCATGCTATTAATGAGTAGATCAACTATGTCTATGGCCATTTTCAATAGCTTTTTGTATGTTTGCCAGAGGGTGTATATATATATACTATGTAATTATATATATATTATAATTATATATTTCACCATCATAGTCATAGTCATGCTGTAGCATACCGTAGCATACTGCCTGCACCAGTCGTAGCATCTCAAGGAAAATTTCAGCCACGACTGCGATCTTCACCAAGGTGGAGGCTTGTCCCCAGCTCCAAACTCCACCAGCAGGGTCTAGCTTAGTTTGGAACATGGTGGCGCTAAAAATCCCAACTGGTCTGGTTTCAATGGTGATTTGATGGTTTAACAATGGGTTAACATTGGTGAATAATGGGATGATCATGGGATAACATAAGTCCAATAGCCTATAGTTTCTGGTTGGTGGTTTTGAGCCTACCCCTCTGAAAAATATGAGTTCGTCAGTTGGGATCATGACATTCCCAATATAATCCAATATATGGAAAAATAAAAGGGGGTTCCAAACCACCAGTGGTAAGTTGGTCAAATGTTAACATTTGTGTTTAGATGTTTAGTATTGTTTAGTTATCCAGCCTCACACATTAGAAAAAAAAACACATGTTGATGCTTCAAATCCAACTGATGGTTACCAAGTTGGGTTTCTCCAGAACTTGTTGAATCATTAAAAAAAGTGCAACACGCCTCACGCCTCTTGGTCAAGAGTTCCAGCTTCTCACTTTGAAGCGTGCGTTGCTGGTTGTGCTCTTGTATGGCCTCTCGAGTCAAGGACAGACCTGGTATCTTCAGATATTGGAGATGGCCCTAGTGTAAATGAAATTATAAATGAATATACATTCCGGTCGTTTTTGACGCTATGGAAACATATGGAAACCATGGCACTGTCAGATGATTTGCCAACTGAAACACGGAGAGTCATTCCATGGCTACTTGCAAGTTGATACCATGGGGCACCATGGAGCATGTGGAGGATATCATCTCCAACCCCGGATACCCTCTGGTTATGTCAAAATAGCAATTGAAAATGGCCATAAAAATAGTGAGTTTTCCCATTAAGAATGGTGATTTTCCGTAGCTATGTTAGTTTACCAGAGGGTATGTTCATTGAGATTCAGGGAGGAGTGGTAAGCCTCCCCATTCAGAACCCGTCCCAGTCCAGTGGTACATAGCGAACTGAGAAAATCGCCATTTCAATAGGCAAGTCATCTATTTTTGTGGGCCATGGCGTCCAAAGCCACGGAGAAAAAAAATCCGGAGGCTACTCGGCTACTCTTCCCAGTCGATTTTCCTGCCAACTTGAATGGATTTAACCTAAATTGGCCTCTAATAACTTGCCCAGGGGCACTCCAGCAATATCCAGCATTGGGAGTGGATTTGCCCATCTTCTATCTTTGCTGCATTTCTCAAGTGGTCATGACATGTCATGACTTTTCTGAGTGGGTCAGTGATATGCGGGCACAACTTGGCACCAAGATACATACAACACCTACGAACTGCGAATCCCCTGAACATGCTCTGCAGTATCTTCTGCAAGATGGTCCTCAGGTGTTCGAATTCCGAAGAACATACCCTGTGGTTATTTCACACAGCCATCGTAATCATCATGAAAAATACAATCCTCAAACCAACCGGCGGGTTGAGGGCCAAGGCAAGACGGGAGATGACATACAAGGTTTGCGTCTGGTTGATGCTGAAGTGTCCTCTGACTTTCTCCAGCCTCTCAGCACATGCTTCGGTGGCAATGTTGGCCACGATTGCGCAGGCCCTGGATCTCCCCTGGGCTGTTCCAACCGCACTCGCCTTGAGGTGCGCCAGGATGTCCGAATCTGAGCACGTCTCTTCGATCAGTGCCACGTAGTGTTAAAAAATTGTTCATTTGTAGATGATTTAGCAATTCAAAATTTGTTTTTTCCAGTTTGCTACGTTAAATTACCACAGTGTTTACTGTCAAACGAACCCCTGTTCTACCGAATGTTTGTCAATCCCATGATATCCCAGGTTTTCGACCATTCTGAGCTGGGTATATGAACCAGAGAACCCTCAATTGAACCGTGCACTCGACTTACTGCCCTCTCTACGAGTACCAGTTGGTGTACCCGGGAATACGTGCAATGTCTCCATTGAAAGGTTCTTAAATCCCTTCATCAGTTTCTGATTGGTGGTATACCTACCCCTCTGAAAAAATATGAGTCAGTTAGGATGATTAGTCCCAATATATGGAAAAATAAAAAATGTTCCAAACCACCAACCAGGTTTGCAATGTTCCCATTTTCTGGTTGGATATCTAACTCTTCACCAGTTGGTTCACCCTTAGATGGCTGAATCCCTATCAATGGCTGCTTTAAACATGACAAAACACCAACTTATCATTCAGAATTTCTCCTGAATTGGGTATGGGTCAATACCTTTTTGTCGCACCTTTTTGTCATCCGTCACGATGGGTCGGCTTCGGCGGGCCCACCGCTGAGCTGAACTGGCGTGTTGCCACTCAACCTACCAAAAGCGGTGCAATCCGTGCATGGAGACTGCTTCTTCCTGCGGGGTAGCGATGGATGCTACCGGCAGGGCCAGGAGTGTCGCCATTTTGGCAACTGGGCGGTCTCCAAGTTGGAGCTGCAACCAAGCATGGATCTTGTCATCGATGTCCTTGGCAAGAGTCGACATCACACCCATTGTCCAGCATCTGAAGCGCCCGTTGCTTGGGCGGTTATCTACCGCCTTAAATTCCGGCATCACCAATCGAATCATCTGTATCAAGAAACTTGCCCAGGATCGGCATGTTTGCTTGAGATCATATTCTTGGCTCTTGCTAAAAAGTTGCCAGGTGTTGTGCTTCGAGGTGGACTGGATTCCCCATTCGCCGGACATGATCTGGAAGGCAAAGAGCAGCTCATACCATGAATACCACTTCGGGGTGGCCGTGGGATCATGGATCTGCTGGAACCATGTAAGCAACTTACTAAAGCCAGGGAAACGTAAGTTGGCAGGGGCTCGGTCAGCCGCAACTAATGCTATTTGATGCCAGGAAATGAGGGGTTGATGATCGAGGGGCTTTGGCATGGCCGCTTTTGGGCCCTCAGCTACTTCTACTGATGCTCTAGCAACTCTAACCATGTGCTGATGTACATGCTTGACAGCTTGCCTCATTTGCTGGTACGCCTGACTTGCTTCCTTCTGGAGGTGCACTACTTGACATGGCAGCATTTGGAGGGCAAGTTCCGCCATCTTGTCAGCAGCATCATTAGCACTACAGGCCCACTGTAGCCATGCTAGTTCGTCATGGTAGGCTTGATGGGACTTGATATGGTGCAGGTGGCAGATGGATTCTGACGGCAGCAACGTCTGGACAATCTGCCACAAATCATGATCTGTCATCGCCGTTGTGACTGACAACCATCCACGCTGAATTGCTCTAGCTCTGCGTATGATGTGTTCACAGTCACTCCAAATCGCAAAGGTAGCTCCGTGGCACTTCATCTGTTCCAGACCAAAAAGGAGGGAGGAAACAAAGGCAAATAGTTCCGCTCTGATCACTGTCTGATGCTGGCCGGGGACTCCTCCCCATGCAACGGGAAAATGAGGCTGTTGCGGATCCCTTCCTGCAATTACTACTGCCCATGCCACTAGTCGAGTGGAGGGTTGTTTCGGGTCAACCCCTGTGCCATCACAGAAAAGATCAAAATGCTTTCTAGAGGGACAATTGGGAACAAAATGAGTGAGAGTATCCGGGATCAGGGTGAGGCTTGATCGATAGGCTCGAAGCTCATCAGGTTCGGTAGCCCACCCATGCTCTTGCAAACATTGTGGGGCATGCAGAATATACTCACGGATATTTGCTGGGATGAGGTTACGACTGCTTTCGGTATGGGAACATTCCCAATGACGATGAAACACTGAATCCGGGAGCTGGCAAAACTTGCAACTTGCTTCTTCTACTATTCCTGCATGTTGCAGTGTGTCGTGCGTATAAAATGTTCCGTTCTGTGCAACCCTTATGAATCCTAATTCATCAGAGGCAAATGTGGATTCTGGCTTCGAGAGCTCTGTGCTCACCAAGCGAAGGCCTTGGAAGCCCTTACGATGTTCCCACAATCCTCCAACCATTTGCTGCCATGCTCGGGTGAGTCGACGTCTGAGTTCTTGTACTGGCGTATCAAGAATGTGGAGAAATCCACCTTCTCCATCAGAGAAGATTCCATCTGCCTTATATGCCCAACATATGGCCTCCAGACGGGTAATCAGCACTCCCCCCGGGCTTGGTTTTCTCTTTCGAGTGGGTACTACCGCTGTGGGAGCCAATGTTGCATCTAACAATTCAGGAGGGATGTTCCTACGGAACTGTTGTACTGTGTTCCACAGCGCAAAAAACTCAGGGTCAGCTGAGGGGTGGGTCGTCAATGACAAGTGGATTTGAGGATTTGCCCCTGCTTTGGTACCTCCAATGGCTTGAAACGCTCCAGCACGAGCATCCACAAAATGAGCATTGCCTATGTGCACTGTGGATACCGAGTACATGGCCCTGGGCCACGCTACCGTGCGTAGCACCTTGAGCTTCTGATCATATGTCGCATGACTACGAGACAGCAAGTGCCACAGTGCTGGGAGGGCTTTAAACTTACTCGTGACTGTGGCATTGGTCTGCCTGGACTCAAATTGCAGGTGTGCTCCCAGGTCTCGGACAGCCTTGACAACAACCTCTTCTGCATCCCTGATTTCTTGCCTGCCTGCCGCAGTAACTGCCCATCGATATGTCTTCTTTTGATCAAGTTGAATATCAAGGAGCTTGCAGAAACCATCCAAGGATTTCAAGGCTTGGGATGTGTCTGACACTTGATTGGATTGAAGCTCAAAATTATCAACGTAAGTTGTGAAGGTGACATTGGGATGCTTCTGCTGAAGGTAAGCATGGAGCAAGGTGTTGATTAGGACCATTGCTACCACTGAAAGGCCACATAGATACATTGGGACCATGGGTCAATACCTATAGATACATTTTTAGTGGGATGAACATCCATTTACCAGCTATTTTGGGGTTCACTAGGTACCAGGGTTTTGACACACTGCCAATTCCCAATTTTCCTCCAGTTGTGCTGCTGGGCTGCTGCTTAAATGTCCATCATCCACCCGCGCCTGCCGGATCTGTGAGAGCTTCACGTCCCAGTCGCTGCGTTCCACGCGTTCGCCCAGGTCGCGGAGTTGCTCCTGGAGTGGGAGAGTGGGTCGGTGTAAGAGAATTGGATAGAAATGGTACAAGTCATAACAAGGTAGTGTCCCAGTTCGGAATCGCTAAGGTGCGTTTATCACTCCAATTTCACTATGGTTTATAGTAGATATATCGGACTACTTACTATGGTTTATAAACCAACTTATAACTGGGGGGCACAACCTTGTAGGAAACCTTGTTCTGTTGTACCCAAATGTGGCAGGATTCCACATAGGGATCAAAATGATCAAGCATAAAGTTAGAATCTTAAGCATAGATCAGTTTCCCGAAGAATGTTTCTACTGGAGACCCTCCAAAAAAGGTGGGTACAGTCAATCAACATCTATGGGATACCCACACACCATGGGGTTTAGGGCAACCATATAGGGATAGAATTCCCACATTTGTGGCCAAAAGTTGGAGCAAACCATTGCAATTTAGAGCACATAATTTTTGGACAATTCCAGAAGAAGCTAAACAAATTGATGATATGCTCGGACAATCAAAGCTACTGCAGTAATACCCATGGAACATGTCCAATGTGTAGAGAAACGCTTTTTATTCAATAATGGTAATAATGGTGGTTAGCCATTGCCAGATTAAAAAAAAACAATGGATGGTTTAATATATAGCATTTTTTTGTTGATGCGACTTCTCCAGCACATCTTTTTACCCAAATTGTCATGGTTGTTCCATGGTTTGTGACTCACAGTGGCCAGCCAACATAGCCAACCAACTATCCAAATTTAAAACAAGAGAATAAGTTTGAATTCTTGAAAAAGGAGTGTTATTGAAACAAACAATATTCCTCTGAATTGAAACTATTTTAACTTTTTTGTTGAAGGGACTCTAAAAGGTTGGTCAGACCCTGGTTCTCATTTGCATCTCACTCCATCTAATCTCACTGCAGCATGTATCAAGATGCTGACCCTGCTGAACCAAGCAAACACTCCAGGAAAGAAACAGTTGACTATTTTGGGTAGTATGGCTCAAAATTTGGCAGCACCGCCAAATGCAATGGAGTAGACCAGAAAGTGCAGTCGTAAAGGCATTAAACCAACCAGAAATTGGGGATGATTGGGGCTGAACGATGATTCAGCAACAAAAAAATGGATTTAGCCGTCAAAGAAGGTACGGGTCAAAATTCGGACGCAGACCACACATGTTGATAGATTTTGGTCATTTTTTGTGTATCAACCATCCATTTTTGGGGTCACCAATTTTGACTCATGCCTGTATGGCAACTGGTGAAGGGTGACTCCATTCCGGCACCTCGCGATTCTCAAAGCGAGTGCGCAAGGTGCGAATCTGTTCCTGCGAAAAAAACGGATCGTCACTGGGGATTTCACCAACCATCCCCGCTGAAGGGGACCCCGGGGACCCCCCAAAAACATGGTTGGCGGTTTTTTCTGGGCTTCGCAAGCACCAAGGTTACCATTTTCATAAACCATCCCAGTAACCAACCACGACTGGGGTCATTTTAACTATTTGGGCGGTATTATAATCTACTTTCTGGAATAATACATCATTTAAAACAGTTTCCAGAAACAGGTGGTAAAAACATTGAAATGCCCAAATTTATGACTGATAGGTGTTTTTTCCACATGATGTTTAGTCTTGGGGTATGCATATGGTTCTAAGTAGGACAAACCCGAGAAGTGTGGACTCATTTACCGAGCGTATCAATGGGCGATCCAAGAATCGACAATCCCCAATTATCAATGGGTCTAGCAACAAAAAAAATAACTCCAAGACTCCAAGTACCCTCTGGTAAACTAACATAGCTATGGAAAATTGCTATTTTTAATTGGTAAATCAACTATAAATGTGCCATTTTCAATAGCAAACTGTTGACATCACCAGAGGGTATATCCAATAATTCACCATAGATCTCGCAGGGTTAGCCGTGATCCTGATCAGCTCCAAAGAAGTAACTCAGCTGTTGCATTGGGATACGGAAATCTATGTGGTAGGGTCTTGTCAGTATAGGTTTAAATTGTTCTCATCATAAAAGCGAAACCAAAATTGAGTTTGGCATTACATTTACAACAATGATACAGTAAACTGTTCTGCAAATACCAATATCTCCACACAAAGACACGAAGCGCTCAAGATACCCTGTTCCCTCATAATTGAAGACTCAATCATATTTATGTACATAATATATGTTTACTTTATCATACCATCAACTAAAACATCTTATAATACGTATTGAAGCCATAGTGAGGTGCTTGTTCTTAATCCACAAATGCATTCAAGTATAGATGGAGATTGCAGAGGGGCCTCGAGGGAAGTTTGAATAACATGTTCCTTTGATATCGCTTGGCTACGCAGCTGAAACAACAATCACAGAAACCACATGAGTTCCCTATGTTTCAAAGCCTTCGTGATCCACTCCGGAGGCAATTGCAATAGCAGTTCCAACTTCTAAACCCCAATGCCAAATGACCTAGATTTCTTGCAAAGGGACATATACATAAATACAGCATATGTATATATATATATATAAGGAACTACTCGTACTTAGAATATGCCGGAATTCAATCCTGCCCCCTCATAGGAAAAAAAAGGTACATAGAATATGTTTTATTTTTAGAAGATTTTAGAAGATCCATTTTAGAAGATCCAATCCCGAAAAATTCAGCTCCACCAAAAACCCTGGGCTCCCACCATGGATCACCATGGTTTTTTCCACTGCAATCGCGAACTTAGTTCAATTTCTTCAGTTTCTTTTTACAATCTAAACATATTTCGTAGGCATTCATGTCGGTTCCCGCTAAATCTGCCAAATTCCTATGTTTTTCAATCAAAATTTAGATTTTTTGACATTGACCGTGAAAAGCGATGAAAACCAGGGGAAGGTTCATCCATTTTTGAGGAACGCCACCTAATTCCATTGGTTTTCATTGCAAAGCAGTTTTTTTTCATTGTTCTGCGACACCGGTCGTGGGGGTAACCTTAGGTGAGCTTGAAAAACTATTTTTTTTGAATACAATTCATCCTTTTTTTGAGGAACACCACCCAATTCCATTGGTTTTTATTGCAAAGTAAGTTTTTCTCATTGTTCTACGGCACCGGTCGTGGGGGTACCCTTCGGTGAGCTTAAAAAAATCATTTTTTTAATACAATACGAACAGAAATTAATCATTTCGGGGGACATCAGAAACTATATTTTTTGACACCAACCGTGAAAGACCATGAAAACCAAGGGAAGGTTCATCCATTTTTTGTGGAATACAACCTAATTCCATTGGTTTTCATTGCAACATATTTTTTTTAATCATAGTTCTACGACACCAGTCGTGGGGGTAACCTTAGGTGAGCTTGAAAAATTCATTCTTTTAATACAATATAAAAAGAAATTGATCATTTCAGGGGACCTTTTTTTTCCTGAAATGTTCTCCAGTTTAGGAACTTCAGACATCCAGGGTCGCTACTCCCCAAAGGGAATTGATCTATACCCTTATACATGGAAGAGACCCAATTCCTTGCAGAACTACATACATAGAATATAAGTCTCAAGGGGAAGATTCACCTTTTTTTTAAAGGAACACCACCCAATTCCATTGGTTTCCAGTTGCTTCAGACATCCAGGGTCGCTAGGTTGATCTATTTCATGGAAGAGACCCAATTCCTTGTACATAGAATATAAGTCTCAAGGGGAAGATTCGGAACACCACCCAATTCCATTGGTCATGGTAGGGGTAACCTTAGGTGAGCTTGAAAAACTCATTTTTTTAACAAAACAAAAATAAATTTATCATTTCGGGTGACCTGGTGTTTTTTAATGTTCCAGTTCAGGAACTTCAGACATCCAGGGTCGCTACTCCCCATTGATCTATACCCTTATACATGGAAGAGACCCAATTCCTTGCAGAACTACATACATAGAATATAAGTCTCAAGGGGAAGATTCACCTCTTTTTGAGGAACACCACCCAATTCCATTGGTGTTCATGGCAAAGTAGTTTTTTTTCATTGTTCTACGGCACCGGTCGTGGAGGTAACCTTAGGTGAGCTTGAAAAACTCATTTTTTTTAACAAAACAAAAATAAATTCATCATTTCGGGTGACCTGGTGTTTTTTTTCATGTTCCAATTCAGGAGCTTCAGACATCCAGGTTGCTACTCCAGGGAATTGATCTATACCCTTATACATGGAAGAGACCCAATTCCTTGCAGAACTACATACATAGAATATAAGTCTCAAGGGGAAGATTCACTCTTTTTTTTATAGGAACACCACCCAATTCCATTGGTTTTCATGGCAAAGTAGGTTTTTTTCATTGTTCTACGACACCGGTCGTGGGGGTAACCTTAGGTGAGCTTGAAAAACTCATTTTTTTTAACAAAACAAAAAGAAATTTATCATTTCGGGTGACCTGGTGTTTTTTTTAATGTTCCAGTTCAGGAACTTCAGACATCCAGGGTCGCTACTCCCCAAAGGGAATTGATCTATACCCTTATACATGGAAGAGACCCAATTCCTTGCAGAACTACATACATAGAATATAAGTCTCAAGGGGAAGATTCACTTTTTTTATAGGAACACCACCCAATTCCATTGGTTTTCATTGCAAAGTAGGTTTTTTTCATTGTTCTACGGCACCGGTCGTGGGGGTAACCTTAGGTGAGCTTGAAAAACTCATTTTTTAAAACAAAACAAAAATAAATTTATCATTTCGGGTGACCTGGTGCTTTTTTAATGTTCCAGTTCAAGAACTTCAGACATCCAGGTTGCTACTCCAGGGAATTGATCTATACCCTTATACATGGAAGAGACCCAATTCCTTGCAGAACTACATACATAGAATATAAGTCTCAAGGGGAAGATTCACCTTTTTTTATATAGGAACACCACCCAATTCCATTGGTTGTCATTGCAAAGTAGGTTTTTTTTACCATAGTTCTACGACACCGGTCGTGGGGGGCCCCCTTCGGTGAGCCTCAGAAACTCATTTTTTGTAATACAAGAAAAAGGTCATTTCAGGGGACCTTTTTTTCCTGAAATGTTCTCCAGTCTAGGAACTTCAGACATCCAGGGTTGCTACTCCCCAAAGGGAATTGATCTATACCCTTATACATGGAAGAGACCCAATTCCTTGCAGAACTACATACATAGAATATAAGTCTCAAGGGGAAGATTCACCTTTTTTTATATAGGAACACCACCCAATTCCATTGGTTTTCATTGCAAAGTAGTTTTTTTTTCATTGTTCTACGACACCGGTCGTGGGGGTAACCTTAGGTGAGCTTGAAAAACTCATTTTTTTAACAAAACAAAAATAAATTTATCATTTCGGGTGACCTGGTGTTTTTTTCATGTTCCAGTTCAGGAACTTCAGACATCCAGGGTCGCTACTCCCCAAAGGGAATTGATCTATACCCTTATACATGGAAGAGACCCAATTCCTTGCAGAACTACATACATAGAATATAAGTCTCAAGGGGAAGATTCACCATCTTTTTGAGGAACACCACCTAATTCCATTGGTGTTCATGGCAAAGTAGTTTTTTTTCATTGTTCTACGGCACCGGTCGTGGAGGTAACCTTAGGTGAGCTTGAAAAACTCATTTTTTTTAACAAAACAAAAATAAATTCATCATTTCGGGTGACCTGGTGTTTTTTTTCATGTTCCAATTCAGGAGCTTCAGACATCCAGGTTGCTACTCCAGGGAATTGATCTATACCCTTATACATGGAAGAGACCCAATTCCTTGCAGAACTACATACATAGAATATAAGTCTCAAGGGGAAGATTCACTCTTTTTTTTATAGGAACACCACCCAATTCCATTGGTTTTCATTGCAAAGTAGGTTTTTTTCATTGTTCTACGGCACCGGTCGTGGGGGTAACCTTAGGTGAGCTTGAAAAACTCATTTTTTAAAACAAAACAAAAATAAATTTATCATTTCGGGTGACCTGGTGCTTTTTTAATGTTCCAGTTCAAGAACTTCAGACATCCAGGTTGCTACTCCAGGGAATTGATCTATACCCTTATACATGGAAGAGACCCAATTCCTTGCAGAACTACATACATAGAATATAAGTCTCAAGGGGAAGATTCACCTTTTTTTTATATAGGAACACCACCCAATTCCATTGGTTGTCATTGCAAAGTAGGTTTTTTTTACCATAGTTCTACGACACCGGTCGTGGGGGGGCCCCTTCGGTGAGCCTCAGAAACTCATTTTTTTAATACAATATAAAACGAAATTGATCATTTCGGGGGACCTGTTTTTTTGTTGAAACGTTTTAGGAACTTCAGACATCCAGGGTTGCTGCTCCCCAAAGGGAATTACGTATATAATATATACCCTTATACATGAAAGGGACCCAGTTCCTTGCAGAATTACATACATAGAATATACGTCCCCAGTGAACATATTCATCCATTTTTCCAGGAACACCACCCAATTCCGTTGGCGTTCATTGCAACATATTATTTTTTCATAGTTCTACGACACCGGTCGTGGGGGGCCCCCTTCGTTGAGCCTCAGAAACTCATTTTTTTAATACAATATAAAACGAAATTGATCATTTCGGGGGACCTGTTTTTTTTGTTGAAACGTTTTAGGAACTTCAGACATCCAGGGTTGCTGCTCCCCAAAGGGAATTACGTATATAATATATACCCTTATACATGAAAGGGACCCAGTTCCTTGCAGAATTACATACATAGAATATAGGTCCCCAGTGAGCATATTCATCCATTTTTCCAGGAACACTACCCAATTCCGTTGGTGTTCATTGCAACATATTATTTTTTCATAGTTCTACGACACCGGTCGTGGGGGGCCCCTTCGGTGAGCCTCAGAAACTCATTTTTTTAATACAATATAAAAAGAAATTGATCATTTCGGGGGACCTGTTTTTTTGTTGAAACGTTTTAGGAACTTCAGACATCCAGGGTTGCTGCTCCCCAAAGGGAATTACGTATATAATATATAATTACCCTTATACATGACAAGGACCCAATTCCTTGCAGAATTGCATACATATAATATAGGTCCCCAGTGAAAATATTCATCCATTTTTTCAGGAACACTACCTATTTCCATTGGTGTTCATTGCAAAACAATATTTTTTCATAGTTCTACGACACCGGTCGTGGGGGGGGGCCCCTTCGGTGAGCCTCAGAAACTCATTTTTTTAATACAATATAAAACGAAATTGATCATTTCGGGGGACCTGTTTTTTTTGTTGAAACGTTTTAGGAACTTCAGACATCCAGGGTTGCTGCTCCCCAAAGGGAATTACGTATATAATATATACCCTTATACATGAAAGGGACCCAGTTCCTTGCAGAATTACATACATAGAATATACGTCCCCAGTGAACATATTCATCCATTTTTCCAGGAACACCACCCAATTCCGTTGGCGTTCATTGCAACATATTATTTTTTCATAGTTCTACGACACCGGTCGTGGGGGGGCCCCTTCGTTGAGCCTCAGAAACTCATTTTTTTAATACAATATTTAAAAAAATGATCATTTCGGGGGACCTGTTTTTTTTGTTGAAACGTTTTAGGAACTTCAGACATCCAGGGTTGCTGCTCCCCAAAGGGAATTACGTATATAATATATAATTACCCTTATACATGACAAGGACCCAATTCCTTGCAGAATTGCATACATATAATATAGGTCCCCAGTGAAAATATTCATCCATTTTTCCAGGAACACCACCCATTTCCGTTGGTGTTCATTGCAAAATAGTTTTTGTCATAGTTCTACGACATCAGTTGTGGGGGGTACCCTTCAGTGAGCTTGAATTATGTATATAAAATATATACCCTTATACATGAAAGAGTTCCAATTCCTTCCAGTACGGATGATATTCTTATAATTCAAAATATTTTAGTGGGATGAAAGTTTGACAAATGTCCATTTATGTCCATTTATGCTGCAGTATGGGTGATATTTTGATAATTCAAAAGATTTTAGTGGGATGAAATTTTGACAAATGTCCATTTATGTCCATTTATGCTGCAGTATGGGTGATATTTTGATAATTCAAAAGATTTTAGTGGGATGAAAATTTGAAAAATCTCCATTTATGTCCATTTATGCTGCTTTATGGGTGATATTTTGATAATTCAAAAGATTTTAGTGGGATGAATTTTTGACAAATGTCCATTTATGTCCATTTATGCTGCAGTATGGGTGATATTTTGATAGTTCAAAAGATTTTAGTGGTATGAAATTTTGACAAATGTCCATTTATGTCCATTTATGCTGCAGTATGGGTGATATTTTGATAATTCAAAAAAAAAATAGTGGGATGAAAATTTGAAAAATCTCCATTTATGTCCATTTATGCTGCAGTATGGGTGATATTTTCATAAAACAAAAGATTTTAGTGGGATGAAAATTTGAAAAATCTACATTTATGTCCATTTATGCTGCTTTATGGGTGAAATTTTGATAATTCAAACAAATCAAAAAAAAGCATCTTCCAGAATTGAAAAAATATTCTATGTACACCTCTGGGATATTCTATGTACACGTTTTTTTTCAATTCCTGAAGATGCCCTAAAACGTATGTTTTTTTCAATTCTATATTCTATGTACTAGTAGTTTCTTATATATATATATAATCTATATTGTAGATATTGTGTGCATGATTGTGGTTATAATCTATATTGTTGTTATAATCTATACAGAACATATGTTTAATGCATTCAATATCTATATTGTAGATAAATTGTGGTTATATTGCAAATTTGTATACTAAATATATGATCTCTCTATATATATAATCTATATTGAACATATATGTGGTTATATATACCATATATTTGTGGTTATATATACAATATATAAATGTTCATTTGTGGTTATCTACATATATATATATGATAACCACACATTTTCACATCGCGATGCAAAAAACACGTGCCATGCCGTCCTCTTGCGCAGCGTGTCGCTGGTGAATCTCGAAGTTGTCCTGTGCCGAAATCATCGGTCCAACGGAGCCTATTGGAGGTACCTACCATATATAAGACCTATTTTTCAGGGCTAAATTTCAGGGGATATCCCCCCAAAATATGGTGAATTATTGGATATACCCTGGTTATGTCAAAATAGGTATTGAAAATTGCCCATTTAGTTCGTTGATTTACCTATTAAAGATGGTGATTTTCCAGTTCACTATGTTAGTTTACCAGAGGGTACATTACATAGAAATACAACACGTTCAAAAATGGCTATCTTTGCTGCAACCATTTTTTTTAAAAGTTTGGACCGAAAGACAGAAAGTAACTACGCTATACTACGCTTGGGTTAGCAGAGAAGTGGAACATCATGATCATTCTTTATATATTGTAGATATTTGTAGATGTACAATATATATATAATATATGACCTCCACCAGGGACATCGTTCAACAGCTGACTCTCACACTGGACAACCGCTAGGCATTCCGGTGCTCATAAGGTGCTCCGCTGACAAGCCGATGCTTGGCTTTGTCCACAGGTACATGGGGGTGCAGTTCCACTTGATCAGTGGGTGTATGGCTATAATTATTATAATTGAAGCCCACACTACAGATATAGTTGTTCAACCATGTTCAATCAACTTTTTTTCAACGAAACACTTAGTTACCACGACAAAAAATGCCAAACCAAACAGCAACAACTCGTTGACAAGTTCGCTCCTTTCAGAACAGCCATCGTTCAACGTTGGTGCAGCCCCAAATGGCCGTCTTTGCGGCCAAAGCGGGGGTCATATGTCCAATCCATCTTCGGTGGGATGTTGTTCCAACGATCCAGATGAGTCGCCACGGAGATTTGATGAGAAATCCCATCGAGTGTCCCATTCCATTTGGAGTCCCAAAACAGCCGTTCCCAGCCTTGCCGCAACCTGCTTGACTGGGGCTTGACTGGGGCATATACCTTTTTTGTATCCCAGTTGTATTTTCTGATCCAGTGCTATGAGGGATAATCTCACAATCAAACTGGTTGTAATATCACATGAAACATCCCAGTAATGCGTGTTAGTGGGCAAATGTTTGTCATATAAATCATAAAAATCGTAGAAAAATCCAGCTTTTCGGGGGCCCCTAAAACCCTGAGCCCTGACCCAGTTGATATTGGGAGTATTTTTCAAGAAAAACAACCGCCAAAACCTTGGTTTGGTGATTTACATCGCTGTTGCTGCTTCATGTCCAATTTTGGCTCTGTATGCATTATAACTGTTATATCATGTTATATCTACATTTAATTATGCCTAGAGCCTCGAAAAAAAGCACCCAAGAAGTGGTCAGGGGATTGAAATTATGAGGTTTTTCAGACCCAATTCCAGCGTTCACTTCCTCAAAACCACCACCCATTGCCCGTATCGCTGTGCCCGGAATTCGGTCTCCTGGAGGGCTTCCTCGAACCTCTTTTCCAGGTCCTGCACGGACACCATGCCATGATGCAGCTCTAAAGGGGAAACCCAATGCCATAAACTGTTCCCAAGGACTTACCAGTATCATGGCTGGTAAATATCATCCCCAAATGGTGGCTTGGAATGGCAGTTTACCACATTACGCAAATGCGAACCATGGTGCTGGAATATGTACCAACATTTCCCCGAACAATTTGTCACCCAGTCATTTTTGTTTTTGCATATACCAGCACCATGGTTCGCATATGGGAGTACTAAGTACTAACACTATTGAAAATGGTCATTTATAGTGAGTTGTCCCATTGAAAATTGTGATTTTCCATAATAGTTTTTTGTATGTTTACCAGAGGGTACCAAAGATTCCTGAAATGGCCATTGATTATGGGAAATTTCTGGGGTAATGGTATTTCCCTTCAAACCCTGGAATCGGACAGCTCCTCAAGTCGTTTGGACAGCACTTCAGTGGCCTTGGAAGAATCTCGGAGGTCGGCAACCCAAACGATGCAATGTTGGGAAAGTATGGTAAAATCCAAACGATCCATAACTGGTTGGTGGTATACCTACCCTCTGAAAAATATGCGAAAGTCAGTTGGGATGATGACATGACCCCAACTGAATGGAAAGTCATAAAATTCATGTTCCAAACCACCAACCAGCATAACTATGGTTTGTGGTGGATGTAACTATAGTTAATGGGGTGTATAAACCAACAAACGTCACTGTGGGGCACCATCCTGTATGGAATTGTGGTCGACCTTTGACTGAATCTTTTTGGGAGGCTACCAGTCTTTTTGATCTATGTACTAAGACTAGCTCTTGACCAAGATCAAAAAATCCCAATGTCTTCTGTTGAAAAAAAATCCGACACAAATAGAAGCGAAGCGGATCAAGGTTACCAGGCGCGTCCTGTGCTCATGGTTTTACGGTTTTACGGTGGGTCAAACTTGGAGTACTACTCAAACCAAGTTTGATATGTCCACTAAATCTTGCATATATATATATGTATATATATGTATATATATGTATATATGTATATATGTATATATGTATATATGTATATATATATATGTATATATATATGTATATATGTATATATTCAGTATCATGTGAGTGTAATATCTCTATAAATGGAATATATAATATATATATATATAATTATATATAATTATATATGATATATTATTGTTTACGGTCATCCAAAGCATGTTGGGAATCCTTGGAGCTCATGACCATCCCGTTTCTGATCCCTCAGAACTGGCTGAGTTACAAAGTCCTCACTCGCATCACCTGGAACGAAGGGCTGGAATTTTGCGCGCCTTTTTGGACGTGTCCAAGTGCGTTTCTTGGGGCTGCGTTTCTTGAGGCTTTTTTCATGGATACAACCAACTATGGTAATAACCCCCAAAAGTTAGGACCCCAGAATAATTTTGGTGACAAAGGCCACTATGTTTGCTATTGAAACCACAGCTGCACTGCGAGGTATTTACACTTGCTGTCCCTTGTGACAAACGTGACAGTCGATGTTTGTTAAGAGTGGAATCCCGACGATTTTCGGTGGATTTGTGGCTCAGCATCTCCACTCTTTAATGAGATAGCTACCCAATATGAATGATTTGATATGGGCCATGAACAAAAAATAACTTACTGGTGCTAAACTTTCGGAATGGATGGGTTGCTGGGGGTTGCTGGGATGATGAAATTACTAGTGATGAAATGGATCATTCCCGTAAAAATTCCCTGCTATATAAGCACCAGTAAGATTGAATATATCATTAACAAAAATGAATGCGCCTATTTGGGATTCGGATCCAGTAATCCACATCAACCAAAGAACTAAAATCCTAAGCACCTTGGCCATATGGCCAATAGTTTGTTGGGCAAAGGTCAAGAATTGCCGGACAAAAAAAGAAACTGCCGGATGGTTTAGTCGGCCATTTCAGGTTATATGGCACCATGTCTCTCCATTTTACGGTGACATTCCCATTGATTTAGGTTAGGTCCAGGTCCCAATTTCGATCCATATCTGATAAAAATCAGCCGCAAATCCTTCCTAGGGCGAGTTTCCGGTGACATTTCCCAATAATTCACCAAGCTTACTGGTATGGTATCGAAGATTTGATGACTGGTTGGTGGTTAAAAAACCATCTTGAAAATATTATAAAGTCAATGGGAAGGATGACATCCCATATATGAAATTGCAAAAAACATGTTTGAAACCAACCAGATGATAATTATATAGATGGCCACAATAAACAAACCGTTTCCAGTCGGTCTTCAAATAAATCTTGGGATGATTGCAATAATCTAACAATCATCTATTAGGGTTGCTCCCCCCAGATACAAGTGGAAAACTGGGTAGACAAAGGAGGTAAAAATCACATCCATTTTCCGAAAAAACAAAAAAAATGGACTGCAGAAACCATGATGATAGCGTTTAGAGCACCATCATATTTGTTACCCTCTGGTAAATTAACATAGACCCTGGCAGATAGTGGTTGGAAGACTGGCTTCCATTAAAAATGGATGATTTTCAGGGTCTATGTTTATTTACCAGAGGGTAATAGACATGGTCAATCTTTGGTAGCTCACACAAAAATCGCCCTTTGCTATGGATATTTTCCAAGGTGGGGGATGAGCGGGTGAAATCACCCAAGCCTTTCAGTGCTAGGCTCTCCGAGGTTGGAAAATCCTGCGCGAAGTCGAGGTCCGGGAGGGGCCAAAATCTAGGAATTCAACCCATGAATGATGGATATTGGGGGATTTGTTTACCATCAAAACATATGGATTTAATATGATTTAATCAATGAGGGGTATCATGGAATATCAATGAAGTATAAACACGGGAAATTGACCTTCAAACACTATTATCATCTCCACGCGATTGCCTCAAAATGGGACATACCTGATTTATCTTGATTTTATCAAAGGTAATGATAAACTACGAGATCCTGGGAGTTCTAAATTTAGAGAGACCCATGACAAACACAGATAGCCATTCATGGAGGTGTTTTCACCTGGGTTTTCAGGCTGTATATGTTACTGCTCCTGAATCAGAATCTTTTTTCCGTAAAAGATGGGGGGTTAATTTCACACATATAGTAAACCCCAAAAAGAGAGAAAAAACATTCATCGCTACTTGAGTAAGATGTTACTTGTCTGCATCTTTTTGGTGATTACTCTCTGGTATTTTACAGTAACAAAGCCATGGAAGACATGGCCCATTTCTTTCGTTGATTACTGTTTTGAAACATTGGTGGATTTTCCATAGCTGCTGTGGATTGAAGAAATCTGGCACCAGTTGGCAACTTGCTAAAGGGGTTCCTCTGAAACACTGTTAGTTTTTTTGGGATTACTAAAGGATAAACATCCGAATAAACAATCTACCAATTCGTGATTCGGATTTCGCGTTGCCATCCACAGTCTGTTGCTGGAGCCTACCCCAGGGCTAAATATCCTCATGGAAGTTGCAGCTTCCAATCCCAAGCCCTTAATGATAAGCAGCTGGATATTTCTGACCCTTCGTGAATCAGCTCATTAATTATTTTTTAACGTGTATAATCTCTAATGGGAATTCCAGTGTTCTGCATATGATTTCCTCACCGGCGTCCGGTTGAAGATTTCTCAGATCTTTTTGTTCTGCGCATACTACAGGTTTGCAAATGGTGGTGAATATTAGCGATACTACATCCCATTGATGTGTTTACATCCCGACTGAACATGAACCAACCATTGTTTTGGGGATTTTTAGTCCACCTATGTTTCAAAACAACTGGAGGCTCATCCGTCATCCAATTCAATGGGCCCAATTCAAGTGTCGTTGCTGGTGATTGTTTGGAGCTCCGTAGATCGTCGTAGAGCGCCCGTTGAACGAGCTCACCAGCAGGCTGATCACAAAGGTTTCCCACCTACTATGGTAGTACAATCCCTCGCTTACCCTCTGGTAAACCTACAAAAAACTATGGAAAATCACTACTTTCAATGGGAAAACTCACTATAAATGGCAATTTTCAATAGCTATGTTAGTTTACCAGAGGGTAACTATCATTCTAGGTTTGTATCCCCATTCCTGTTGGTTAATAGATACTCAATGTATCCTAAATGTGTGTTGCCAATTTGCCCTTCCTATATAAGGTCCCCGTATGTACGTCAAACAAATGCATCCGTACGTTTCAACCACTTTTCACAGCCTGAAAAATGGGTCCATGTTCAACACCCCAAACCTAGGAGTTGTAGATCGTGAGTTATTCATGTCAGGTACTCACCTAGATCGGTCAGATTTTCAGACACATGAATCCAGAAATGGGACAAAACATCTTGTGAAGTGACTCAGCTGGGTGAAAAAAACAGATGTGCTGAAATGGATTGCTGTCTAAATTCATACACATTCATGGATATCATAGGGGTCTCCTTCACGACAGTTGTTGAGGAAGTGATCCAACTTAGATGTTCACATTATGTTATTAAATATCTATTTTTCGGTACCATCAAGCAATTATATGTTTTTTTGGCGATATTTTTTTTTAAGGCTAGATTCCCATTCTGTGCAGCTTCATTGCCCTTATAAAACAACATATTTCTGTAACAGTTGGGTCACTCAACTGTCACTCCTCCTATCATCGCACAGAAATCATGGGATCCACAATCAATCAAAGGGAGCCTCGGCGCCGATAAATCTTACCTGTTTTCCCCCAGCTGAATATCTTTATATTGTGGTCAATATACTGTTAATAATGGTTAATATATGGTTATTATATGTTATTATATGGTTAATGATGGTTAATAATATAATCTTTATATACTAGTTACATCTCGTTATTCATGTTATTCTAAAGAATTTCAACAAACCATCTTTTCCCATCGAGGGACATAGACCCTGTGCATGGTACATACTTCTAAACCAATTTGGGATGCACCGAATCCTGACCATCATTTGCACTGAACATCGTAGTGAGGTCGTCCCAATAGCGACATCACTACGTTGTCCGAAAATTCTGTCCTTTTTCTATCCCCAAGTTCTCAAATTGTATAAATGAATAAACATGGCATTTATACAGCAATAAACTTGGGTGATATACATAACTTAAGCCCCTCGTTCTTTCCCTCCCTTGAAACCCAATGAATATCCCCCTTGAAGCCCATGTATTGGATCTCATCTGGGGATATGGGAAGGGATCGGTTCTTCCCTGGATAACCCACAACTGGTGCATGGCCTAGCCCAGTGAGTTACAACACCTGGGATGCACTTGGAGGATCATCCCACAACATGTGATAAATTTATGCCCTGGTGATCTCAAGATTATTTGTGGCTCCATAAAAATCACTACCCTCTGGTAAACTAACATAGCTATTGAAAATTGCCATTTATAGTGGATTTACCCATTAAAAATAGTGATTTTCCATAGCTATGTTAGTTTACCAGAGGGTAAGTTCGATTACTCACCTCGATTCCCCAAGTGATACCTCAGTGACAAGTCGTGGGCTGATGCCCCGTCGGTACCGATATCCATCGTCGGCGCCTCAAGCGGTACCTTCATCTCCAACGCGGCCAAGCGCTCACAAACGTTCACGAAGCCTTCATGCACTTCCTGGCGCAGAACCAACGTGGTTTCCAACGTCTTTTTCGGGGCAGCACCACCTTGAATGGATATCATGGGGATATGATGACACTGGGGATGTTGACTGGAAAAAATGGTGTATATATATACAGATATTTGATGTCAACCAGGGATTAATAATATTTACATATCAACCATGATCGGGAGATAGTGGGATACACTTGGATACAACGGGATATATACTGGAATACCATGGCATATAAGGGGATATCTGGCTAAATGCAGTAAACCTGTGTCAAAATTTGTTGCATGACAGGGATTTCACCATTACAACATATGCTTGTCACCCATGTCGCCCATCAAAGATATGGGGATATAGATAGCATTGATAAATGATGGTTACATGGTCAACACTGGACCAATAGATCCCTGATGATCCCTGTTCTGTTTCATTCGGGAGGTACCATCTTTTGGGAGATTTTGTTTTACTCTAAATTTCACTCTTTGTGAGGGAGTGCCCCTAATCAATACACCAAGGTTTGTTAATCCGGGGTTGACATTACAGATATGTGCCATGGTCAAACCATGGAGTTTATGGGTATGGTCATTGCACCATCATTCGGGATTCTTTATAATTGGCCATAATCAATCCCTATGGACCGATGACCATTTACCAATATAGGCGGCAGTGGTTTGAAGTTTCAGGGCAGGGGCAGATCGGCAACCTGTCTATCCTCGATTTTGTTGCTGTTTTTTTTTTTGCTTGGCCCGAAATTGCTGTTTTTTTTCCCCACCTGCCAGGTGAGGGTTGTTAGATTTTATGTCAGTTGCCTCCTCCTCCTTCTCCTCCTCCGCCTCCTCCTGCCTCGTCCTCCTCTCCTCCTCCTCCTCGTCCTCCTCGTCGTCCTCGTCGTCCTCGTCGTCCTCGTCGTCCTTGCTCACCTGCGACCCGCGATCCACAGTGTTCTCTGCCGGACCTCAACCACGACCATCCACGCCCAGTGTTCCCTGCCGGACCTCAACCACGACCATCCACGCCCAATGTTCCCTGCCGGACCTCAACCACGACCATCCTCGCCCAGTGTTCCCTGCCGGACCTCAACCACGACCATCCACGCCCAGTGTTCCCTGCCGGACCTCAACCGCGAGTATCCACGCCAAGTGTTCCCTGCCGGACCTCATGTAGGAAGATATGGGACAAAGAATGTGCAGAAGAAAGTTAGAAAGAATGTCAGAAAGAATGTCAGAAGATATGCCAGAAGATATGCCAGAAGATATGCCAGATAGAAAGCCAGATAATATGCCAGAAGATATGCCAGATAGAATGCCAGATAGAATGCCAGAAGATTTGCCAGATAGAATGCCAGAAAATATGCCAGAAGATATGCCAGATAGATATGCCAGAAGATATGCCAGAAGATATGCCAGAAGATATGCCAGAAGATATGTCAGAATATATTCCAGAAGATATGTCAGATAGAATGCCAGAAGATATGTCAGAATATATGCCAGAAGATATGCCAGATAGAATGCCAGATTGAATGCCAGAAGATATGTCAGATAGTGCCAGAAGATATGCCAGATAGAATGCCAGAAGATTTGCCAGATAGAATGCCAGAAGATATGCCAGAAGATATGCCAGATCATATGCCAGAAGATATGCAAGATAGAATGCCAAATAGAATGTCAGAAGATATGTCAGATAGAATGCCAGAAGATTTGCCAGTAAGAAAATGTATAAATGTCATGGTGGGGATCACACGAAGTAAAGTAATTTGCTTGGCCCGAAAACACCCTGGAGGTCTGCCAACGCCCTGGCCAGTCACAAACACCTGTATACAAACTTGTCCGAAAGCAGGCCAACTGTGACTGGGTATGACATTCAAAATGCCCCACATCCAACCCTTAAACTGTCTCTTAATCCCCCCCTTCAGAACGATTCCAGTCATTGAGTCTGAAAAATGACCCATTTGGTTCGATGATGCTTCTCATATTGTCCAAATACAGTATTGAAGTTGGGATTGTCCATTGACATTGGACAAATTACCATCTGGTTATGACTAACATAGCCATGGAAAATCCCTTATAAATCACCATGTTTAATGGGAAAATCCTCTATAAATGGGCCATGGCTTCCATGGCTAGGACCGCAGGTGAATCCGGTGAATCCAAACCCACCTGCTGCATGGCGTTGCGTTCTCTGGCGGCCGCGGATAAGCCTTCTTCCAGCCTCAGGACCATTGTTTCATTGTTGGGGATCTTTGAAAGGAAAAAAACACCCATGTTCCAGTTTACTTAGGGTCACCTACTATACCCATATATATATAAATAAAATAAATAAATACGAATATAAATATGCAATCTATATATATATATTATATTATGGCTGGGATTGGTTGGAAATATTCTGGATACAACTGGGCTATAAGCATGATCAACATGAACCACCAGAACTGATTGCAACGCAGATCCATTTTTCGTAAGATGATGGGAATATTTTATGGGAATCGGTCAACCTGAAAATGCCTCACTGGAACGGAATTTTGAGGTAATGCCCTTATCAAAATGGAGGATTTCCAGTTGACTATGTTGATTCCCCTTAGATTCACAAGTCACAGATGTTGAAATGTGGGGTTTTTCCTCACAAAAATCAGATGGATTTCTGTGAAATCATCTTTCCAACAACTTTGATCCCCAAAATTCCACAGATTTATCATGATTCATCGCTTTCGGAAAGGGCAACATTGTACTGGACCATGGTAGCTACGGTAGCTACCCCCCATCCGTGTACAAAAAAGGGGGCCCCCAACGCGCTGTGCCAAGTCCGTTGCTGTCGGGAGTCTTCCTGGAGGTGGTATAACGATGTTCACCTGACATCGGGATTACAAATCTATACACTTGCGGTAGATAGATATCTTGTAAATAGATATATTTTATTTTAATGTAAATAGATATATTATGGGATAGTAATATGGGATATATATATATAGAGATATAGATATATATATATATGCAAATATAATGTGGTTAAAACAATGCCATAAACCACCCATGACTGAGAATGGTTAATACCACCTATAAAAATGGTGATGACTGGGAGATGGTAAACATGACATTGTCTTAACCACATTAAATAGATATATTGTACTATCATGCGGTTCGGAAGCTCCACTTATCTCCCCATTTTGGCTACCCACATCTACCCACTGGAAAGTCACAATGGAAAATCTATTATTTATGGACGATTTTCCCATCAGAAACTCCGATGATCGGGGGTTTCCCAGCGGCCCGCAATGTTTGATGATAATCTCGAAAGTTTCTCTCAAACTCGGTCAAAATCGGGTGTAAAATTGATATGTCCCATAAAATTCCATATAAACATCCATATCCCCATTGAATATCATTTTAAATCACCATTTGAGTGGTAGGATTCCACTATATCCCCATCAAAAATCACCATTAAATCACCATAATCATGGTAGGTTCAATCACCATTTTCATCCATTTCCATAGACTATATCCATATATATATAATATGTATCCCCATTAAATTACCATTTCTGGTAGGTTAAATCACAATTTTCATCCAGTTTATATCTAATATCATCTAACCTTTGATGGCCACCCGGTTGGTTTCGGCTCCTCCAGAGAGATGCTGCGACTCGAGGCCACCAGCGCCTGCATCTGTTGCTGCAAGGCTTGGCACTTCGCCGCCAACTCCTGTCGCGAGGTGGTCGGCGAGTTGCCCGGCCGTTTTTGGGAGGGGAAAGGATGGCTGGTTGGTGGTATACCTACACCTCCGAAAAATATGAACGTCAGTTGGGATTATTATTCACAAATATTCACGATATATGGAAAGTCATAAAAATGTTCCAGTCACCACCAACCAGATGATGGGGTCCCTGTTGGTTGTTGCGTTGACGCCTGAAAGTGGCTGAAGTCTATGGTAGATTGACCGGCAAGAAATGGTGATGATTCACTAGGATGAACATGGTGATGATAACTGGGATGATTTAATGAAAATGTCTGGGATGAACAGCAACAGTGAATTGGTGATGAAAAATAAAGTCATTGTGGAATGAGTTTTCCAACAAACGTTCAACTGGGGGACACCACCTCGCGGGCTGTTTTGGAAGAAAACATTGTGAATTTAGCTTCAAAAACACAATGTTGGGAGTTGTCCAAACAACAACATACTGTGGATTCACTGTGGATGGTTGCAAAATCCTGCACCACCTTGGATGGTTGAACCTCTATAAATAATGGGATAAACCACACAAAAAAATCCTTGGATTGTCATAAACATTCCTCCAGTTTTTGTTTCCATGAAAAAGATGAGTTTCGTGAGCTTCCCTCTAACCTGTCAAACTTGTTCCAGGTTTTTCGAAGATTTCCCCAACATGGGAATGTCCCAACATGTCCCAACGATGTCCCACAAGGGGGTCGCCTCCTCGATCTTTTGTTTCCATTCCCAGCGACGGTCGTCCAACAAATGAACCTCCGGAAACGGATCTCGTTGATCTGGGGATTTGAGCAGCCCAAAATCCCAGAAAGATTCCATAGATTTAGGTGAACCATCCCCTTGAACTGAACATGTTGGGATATGATGGGAATTCAGTAGCCAAAAAATAGTTCAATATTTGCAAAAGTATCAAAAGTATCAAAAGTGTGACCCACTTTTCGCGGATTTGAGCGTCAAGATGCGGATTTTGAGGAGCGTCCGAATAGTCGGACCCAAGCGTCACAAATGGGGGATCTAAACAATTGATGATTAGCACTTGGTGCTTCATCCACGAATCGCCAGGGGTATGTACCTGGTCATTGGTTAGTGGTATGGTTAGTGCTTGGTCCACTTATGAAACAGTGAAGTCTGAATGAAAACTTACTACCCTCTGGTAAACGTTTACAAAAAACGATGGTTAAAATCACCATTCTATTAATGGGCAAATCCACTATTTCAATGGTCATTTTCAATAGCAAACTGTTGACATAACCAGGCCGGGTAACTCGGGTTTAACCTCTCAGGAGCCTCCAGCAATCAGGGCCCATGGCAGTCATGGACATATGGAAAATCCCTAGACGTTCCGTGGCCAGGTCACTTTTTTGCCAGCGGTTTTGTCCCAAAAAGGCGAGGTGTTGGAAACGGTGAAACGGTGTTTCACCTAGTTGTAAATGGAAAGCCAAAGAAGGTACTGGTCCAAGATGATTAATCAACTAATGGTGAAGATGTTTAAAAGATTTTAAAAAAATATATGAGAATGTAATGCCGGGCATAGTTTACAAACAAGACCAATGCAGGATGAATAGCAACTGCAATTACTTTACCCTTCACCAGTTCGCAAACTGCCACTTTTTTGCCCCAAAAACTCTGGCAGCTGCCGAAGATCCACTAGCGGATCATCTTGCTCAAAAACAAGTTCTATCCTCATGTCCTCCCCATTTCATGATGGTGAAATCCCAAAAAATACCCTCTGGTTATGTCAAAATAGCTATTGAAAATGACCATTTACAGTGGATTTTCCCATTAAACCTGGTGATTTTCCATAGTTATGTTAAATTACCAGAGGGTACAGGCAAACCTCACAAAAATAGGCGGACTTAAACAGTCCCGGCAATTCATCTCTGGCCTGCCGAATTTGCCCCTGCAATTCATCGGACAGGCCCTTGACCTAAGCATCGGGAACATCAACTAAAAATAAATGATGATAATGATCATAGAATATCAAGGTTTATGTTGGGGATATACAGTATCCCCATTTTTCAGTGATATCAGGATTCTGGATATGAATATATGGGCATTTATGGATATACCTACATGGATGTGTATATATATATATTATGTATGGGGATGTAATTTATTACCTGTTGGCTCAAGCTCAATGGGGATGCAGTGGAGATCTCATGGGAATATCATGGGGATATTGATGTTCTACGGGACATGTACATATACATATATATATATATACGTATATATAATTTATTTATATTCATTTATATATATATACATACATATAATATATCCACACTATGTATGTATATATATATATATACAGTTTTTCATGTGTGTATATCATTGCATAACGGGTCTGTCTGTGTTGGCTTTCCAGTGTGGCTGTAGTATAAAGCTAACAATAAATGCCATGAAATAGATAGCATGGGATATAACCAGGAATGTGACATGGGTTTGTCTGGAAATGGACATGCTCAAGGGGGAAGTCTTCAACCCATTGGATCTTAAGGATGAAGTCTTCAGAAAATCCCTCTGCTGATAAGTTATAGCCCTAAAAAAGCTTGTTTATCCTCAAACCCAAAAGAATCACACCAATTTCAAATCCAAATATATATATATATATATGTATTTATGTATTTATGTATTTATGTATATATATATATATATGATATATGGTATAAGCCATTTGAGGCTTAACAAAAACCCATGGCTTTCCACGAAGAATCCGCTTTTGAAAACAAGCGGAACCCCCAGCGGCACTGCGGCATCCTATGGGACCCCACCTTGCCATCCAGCTCCGCCAAGCGCTTCTCCACACGAGGCTGTTGAGCTTCCAAAACATTCACCCGATCGAACAAACGATCCTCGGCTGGGAGAAATTACCGAAATTACCATGTGAAACCGCTAATTGAAGCTATCAAGTGACTTACTGTTCAACGACGAAAAGTGGATTATATAATATATAAAAAGTGTGAACTTCGTTACCTAAATTTTGGATTCTATAAATTGGTGGTTATGATAAACTACGAGTACTATTTGGCTATTGGGTTTATGGCAAATCAAACTACTTTCGGTGGGTCTAGAAACCAACAAACATTACTGGAGGACATCACGTTGCAGGCAGAGTGGGTCTTGATGTGAGAGAAACCTCCAAGTTTTTTGGGTGCGAAATCAAAGTTCATCCCTGAGTTCTTCTAGGAACATGTTGAGATGTGTTTTGTCTTTTTGTGTTTGCTTTGCTGTGGGAAAAATCCACCTGCAGGGGCAATCTAGCCAGCAATGTTGGCTTCAGATTAGGTAAATCAGCTAAACTGAGCTCTGTGTTAGTATGGCCAAGAAAGAAGACACCGTGCGAAATTCCATGAATTTTTTGCATGTTCGGATTGAACCGAAGGCCGTACCTTTCAGGAATACAGCTGGATTGCGGACCCTTGGCCTCCCAAAACCAACTCACGGGTTGACCCAGCAACAGATTGACCTCTGCTAAGAAAATGCCGACCGCATCTAATCACTAACATATCTCTACGAAAAAAAACTGGTCGCTGAATGTATGAGAACCATCACCATGTCACCATGTCTAAATATTAGGTGTGTGGTTGAATTAGTGCAAGTAACCAGTCATGCCAAAAATATAGAATCATTTTTGGATTCATCATCGAGGACCTAGGATAGGTATGGACGGTATGGACTTTGGCTGAAACGACCTATGTACTACGAATCAGTTTTTTTTTGTATCTGCTTTTGGCTCATGGAAATCATGATATTTTGCCATGTTTTTTTGCCATCAACTCTCGATTTTTCGTGTATTTTCACGGGAAAACAAAACAAAAAAACAGCCAAAATCCCAAAATGGAATCCTGGCACCCGGTGGTTTAGAAGATCAGTTTCCCACATTTTTTGCTGGTCAATCTCATGGTAAATCTCCCATTTTTGAACATCCATTGACTGGGAAAACTGTAAATCCAGATTTCTGTGGATAGACTAGTAAATTGATGGTCATTCCCATGGTAAAATCTCCCATTTCTGAGATCTTCTGCGGAATTTGTTTTTTCGGAAGCCCTGGCTTTACCCACCATTCCATCCCTCGTCATCCCTCGTGAAAAGTGTCCAGAGTGGTGGCGGAGAAGTCTCTTCGCTCTTGTCTCAACCTGGACACTGCTGGTGACCCTTCGCGATATTTTGGACGCTTCAAGCCGTTAGTTTTCCATGGTTTTCCCTTAATGAATCCTGGGGCGTCTTGCAAATTGTCCCTTCAATTCTTGGATTAAGGTAATAAATATTGATTGGTTCTACTTGGATGTAGACCATCGCAAGTTCTTTGTAACCATGCAAATGAATCCAACTGGATATGATCATGATTTCTGGCTTTGCGGCTTTTCTGGGTTTCAAGATTAATATACGGTTACTATAGCAGTTATAACACGATTCCTGGGATGCACCTAGTGGATGATCACGGTTGGCCAAGGGGATCACAGGTTATGACTAACACTTCGCCATGGAAAATCCACCCATGCTATTAATAGGTAAACCATCTATTTCTATGGGCCATGGCTTCCATGGCGAACTGTTAGTCATAACCAGAGGGTATTTCTTTACGTGTCTGAATTTGGAGGCATCCCCAAGGCCTGTGAATCATCGATGAGATGTTCGATTGCGCACCTGCTGCAGTTTGATACTTCTAAATTGACATGTCCATACGTCGGGGTAGCTATACCATGTTTTTAGACTCACCTATTATATACTATATATGAGTCATGAGCAGCTGAGAACTTTAACGCTGATTTCAGGTTGCCAGCTTAGGTAAACAAAGGCGCCATCTGTCTGCACGATAGAAACCAGCAGTTCTGGAATGTGTCCATTTAAAGGCACCCACGGAGCAGATCGAATATCCAAACCAATGTCAATTTCTGGAAACGCGCTTCCTGTTAGTTTATGTTAGTTTTGGTCCAATTTGGAGGTTTCCTGAAATGGGGGGTACCCCTAAATCATCCATTTTAGATGGGGATTTTCCCTTATAAACCATCCAGCTATTGGGATACCCCCATGACTATGGAAACCACCATTTCATCGCCATGATCCTTGAATGGTGTTTCCTGGCCTCCCGTCACCGTGTGCGCCCTGCGCGCCCACTGTGTGCGCGGGGCGCGTGAGCCAGTAATGATCATCGCCGCGGAACTTCTTCTCCCACTTCTCTTCAAAAGCGTCCATCTGCCGCCGGACCGCAGACATCAAGGCGCTTTCCTGAAGCCGAAGGACGCAGGATTTGTTTTAGCCCGATTCAATGGGCCAAAGGTCAATGGTAAAATTGGGGTCGTATATATATATATAATGGTTTTTGGGGTCCATCACATGGTGAGTAAATTGCATCCCGCGGGTTAAAGGAGTATAGGGTCTTTGTGCTATCTTGGGCCGTTCAATTGGAAGGGGGTTACCACAAAATACTCATAAAAATTGATAGACTATGATAAATTACTAGTAAAATTGTTCCACTTCTATTGAAAAACTGGTGGTTGAGTAGTCATTTACCTGACTGAACGTGGAAGAACTGACGTCAGGACTTGAAGATTGCAGGATGAGGGCGGGAGATGGATTACCTCTAATGAGTTGTAGGCGTTGCAGAGGTTCTTTCAGAGAGATTGTTCCTACGTAGTATTCCATAGTCCACAATTGCGTAGAAACGGCATTGCCTTCTCTGCATCTTGTCTACTCGTAAATTGAAACGGGGATACCCCGGTTCATCATCCGAAACACAATTATTGAAACCTATGGTGACTTGGGGATCTTAAAACTTTAAGACACCCCCAAATTACCCTCTGGTAAACTAACATAACTATGTAAAATCACCATTTTTAATGGGAAAATCCACTATAAATGGCCATTTTCAATAGCTATTTTGACATAACCAGAGGGTAAACGTGTTCTGCATCGGGGGTTGTACGCCCCTGGCCGCCAAGGATCATAGGACGCTCGAGCTGTGGCATTGACCACATTGGTTCTGCCTCCGCCTAACAGACGTTGGAAAAAAAAAAACTAAATCCACTGTTTGATCATATCTGTTTGGTGGTTTTACCCTCTGGTAATTTAACAATAACCACTATTTTTATGGTGATTTGATGGTTAACAATGGTGAATAATGGGAATATCATGGGATTTACCCTCTGGTTATGTCAAAATAGATATTGAAAATGACCATAGAAATAGTGGATTTTCCCATTAATAGCATGGTGGATCTTTCCATAGTTATGTAAACGTTTACCAGAGGGTAACCATCTTGAAAAATATTAGTCAATGGGAAGGATTATCCCATATATTATGGAAAATAACAAATGTTTGAAACCACCAACCAGATACATTATTCCAATAGAAAAAAGACAGTCCGGGAGATAGATATCATGTTCCATCAATAATTTCATATGAGCAGTGTTCAAAATCCCTCCATCATTCCAATTTTTCTGGTTGGTTAATAGGGATTCCCCTATTGGATTATTATAATCCCCAATATATAAAGGGTAGTATAATCCCTCAACTAATCATCAACCAACAGGGGTTTCGCAGCCACTGCTCATGTCCCCTATTGAAAACAAAAACTATGTGGCATTTGGATCCCCACTAAAAATTATCATCGTCTTTTCCATGCATTTTGATGATTTGTTTGCCATATTTGGGGAGAAATCCTGTTTATCAGTGTTTTGCTTCTCCATGGTTCTCTCGACTTTAATAATAATATTGCAATATACATGCAGGCTATATCCTTATTTTATGATGATAAAACACTCGAGAATGAACGCTATCATGTTGTCGCTTGATGTTTTCGCTATTTTGTACACAGAATTATATATGGATCCCATGAACATCCAGAAAAGTCACATCCATATTACTTGTCCCATGCGTATCCATCATATCCCCATTGGATCCTCCAGGGTTGAATCCATGGTGAAACATTGTGAAACCGCCCCTTTTTTTTACGCGAAAACCTTGGATAAAATGTTGGTGTATGTGGTCACTTTCATTGTGTAACATGTACAGTAGACCATTTTAAGCCCCCAAACATCCACGCACTAATTTGATATATCTAGCATATGTTTAATCCATGTTCAAAAAAAAAAGTTTTCCACCGTTGTTCCACATGTTTCCACCATTTTTCCGTATTTTTCTCAGAATTCACCCATGATTTCGACCAACGCCCAAGCAGCTCAAGGCCCTCAGCTGCTGCGCCATCGGGCTCGAGGGACGCCGGGCGTTCCTTTTTCAGCGGTACTGGGAAAATCGCCGATGAAAGACTCGCAATTGGGAGGTTTAAAACCCATGGGAAAATTCCGATTGAAGCAACAAAAATGGGCATTTACTTGATATGTATATATATATATATACATATATAATCATATATATATATATATACATATATATATATAACATATACATATACATATATATATATATATATATAGTCGGCTTATGATAAGCTAAGTGGTTAATGTTTCTGGGGTTGGTGAACTACCGTTTCGAAATGGGATTGATTACCCACGAATTGCAAACTTACCATCGCCAGGGTTGTGAACCACGTGCTGAACACTGTTCAAAACCGTTGATTGAAGGTCAAACCTTGATCAACAGCAATTATAGGGGTTTATATACGCAACATCAGTTTACGAAATAGTGTTTGATGAGTTGTTTAATGGGGATTTAACCAACATTGATTTACATTGGGTTTTTTCAACCACAATGATATGATGTAATTGATAAATGCGGGTTGGTTGCTGATATGATCGGGGGTTATTCATCTATCCAACCCACCCTTTACATGGTGTCATCATCGTCATACGTGAACTGGGAATCCCGTTCTTAATCAACCAATAATGACAAAGAGTTTTGAATACTGTCAGTACGATTGATTCTCGAAACTTTCAACATGAAACACTGCAAATAGTGATTGAAACTCAGACATGTTCAGTTCTGAATAGCAGATTTATTTATATTGTTTCAACACTGAATATTATATGATTTATTGATAAATCAATTCATTCTGAGGTCCCATTGCTATTCGAAGGATGGAATCTCTCACTTGGATGACCATGGAAGTGGTGATCAGAATTCATTCTAGAATTGGCTGAGGGGTTCAAGGGGAAATCACAAGAACAATCATTATTTATATGGATGTATATATATATATATACATTGTCTATATATAATTATATTCATACATTTGGAGGTTTGCTAAAATGGGACGTACCCCCAAATCATCCATCTTCATAGAATTTTCCATTATAAACATTTATAAACCATCCAGCTATTGGTGTACCCCCAATAGCAGCCCCATTAGGAATCCTCCATGTGATGTTAAAAAGATGTGTAAGAAGTACAGCTTCAATCTTCCCCTTGAACTACTCCCCCGTGGATCGTAACCCTGGTTTCACCACTGGCGAGCAATCAGGGACTTTCAAGCGACACTCACTGATCACTTTGGTTGCTTGCAATCCGCATTTTGATGGATCAAATCCTACCTTTTATCAGCTGTTTTATGGGTGAACCGAGAGCCGATTCACACAAAAATCATTGATTGGATGGAACTTAGAAATCTCTAAAAATCTCTTCTCCCCGGCCATCAATTTGTGTAAAAAATCCTCAGATCTCCAATTCTCAACTTCAAAGAATCTTTGAACATTCAAGAACCTTGAAGCTCCCAGCTTCAACCTCCAAAAAAACACCTCAAAACGTCAACTTCACCTCCTCCCCGGCCATCATCCCAGCATCAGCTGGAACTGCCACGGCCACCCTTCGCGCCCTTCAGGGACCGCCGGTCCCGCTGGTCCCGCCGGAGCGTCCCGGGGTGGGCTCGAGATGGGCTCGGAGGGCCCGGGGCGACCCCTTGGAGCGCCCTCCATGGCGGAGGATTCACGATTTCTGCAGAAAATCCATGGGTTTTTGATGGTTTTGATCTCCTCTGGCTGGTGGTTGACCAACCCTACCCCCCTGAAACATATGAGTTCGTCAGATTGGATCATCATCACTATTGGGGAAAATAAAAAATGTTCCAAACCACCAACCAGTCTCAAGAAACCTCTGAAATTAATGAAAAAGTCGTGTGTTTCTGTTTGAGATGGTTGGATATCTGATGAGTTTTTCGGCGGAAAAGTTGTCCGACGTGCTATCAAAGTTGAACGCTGTGGTTTTCGGTCTTGAAATTGTGGCTCTGCGCAGGTCTCGTGAGAATATGCCCCAGCAGGGGTCCCCAATCCTAATTCAAAGTTATATCATATATCCAAACCAAGTATGCCAGTCCAGTTCGAAACCACCACGGAATTCGATTATTTTTTCTGGAAATTCCCATGTTTGGGATGCTAAACTTGTCTAATCTGCATACTGTCCAGTGTCCGCTCCGGCGTGACACTGCTACAAGCCTGATACGGCAATTAGGCAATTCCGAGCTCTTGTGGATGACACTTGGGTATGGGTCATGGGTCCAAAATTTCAGCTCCCGGGAAACACTTCAATCATCTTCAATCAAGGTAAAGTGGCCATTTTGAGTATGTATGAATTCAATTCTGAGTGAATTTGGGCCAAATTTTAGGGGCAAACATGGGCAAATTGTTTTCCCATCGGGTCCTTTCTTTTCGGCTCTTGGATATGGTCTACCCACCAGTTCATGGACAAGTCGGTACTTTGACATGCAAAAAATGACCGACAAAACAACTGCGACATTCACATGAATGGTTTTTGGTTGAAATCATTGTTTTATCTTGGAAAATGATCATCCATTCATTGTTTAAGATTGGGAAATATTTAAAAAAACCTTCAATCATTCTACGCGTAAAACCCCAATTGGTCACCTCGTCTACATCATTTCCTGTCATTCACAATCTGGAATTGGCCCCCTGAATTTCTTTGCGACCCAAAGAAACCTAACCGCAAAACAATGAAACGATGAAATCAAACCAAATTGAACATTGATTTGGTCCGATTTTTTCCCGACCCCGTATGATGACGGCAAAAAACTTGAATAGTCACTCTGCTGGCCCCCACTTGAAACAAACAATAAAAGATCGAAGTCAGATCATTGGTTTCAATGAACTTTCATGGGGGATCATGATCCCAAATTTAGACCATCCAAGTAGGTTGAAGCCTTGGTGAATCAGGTGCACCTGTGGCGGGGGGGCGTGAACCTCTAAGCGCTCTTTGAATTTGTCGATGGACCAAACCTGGGTGAACAATTGTGACCAGTTTCACGCATAGCACCTGATAATTTGGCAAAACTGACCGACTTTAGTAGGTTTTATATATATATATATTTATGATCGTAGTCAAAACCGCTAAAGGTCCGAACCAACGTTTGTTCAGACTATATCATCAATAGCTGGGATCAAAAAAACGCGGCAACCCTGCGCGTGACATGTTGTTTGGACCCTATGGCATTTATGGTGCTCACAAACCGAAACAGCATACAGATGGCCATGAATCCTCAATTTGTTGGCGGCTTCAGCACCTTGAGAAAGGTTGCCCCTTATGGATCATCATCCCAAATATTGCTGGCAAAAATGAAAACACATTAAACACCAACCCGCTAATTAGACCCGAACTCCCTCACAGCAACGCACTCAGCCGCAAACTGTCAACAGCGGCGAGCCAAGGGCGAGTGTGCCTCGCAGCTGATAAAAACTGATGGCTCCATCTATGATGAAGCCCTTCTGAACATGCTCACTCACACCAAACTGCATGCACCAGTGTTTGTGTCGCCGGCAGCAACGCCCACCCGTCAAAGCAGCAACAACAACCGGCTCCTTGAAGCAACCTGAGCAAGTCCAGAGTGCCCAAAGCCCCGTGCTGCCCGCCTTTGTAGCCCTCCAAGCGCTCATTGGAGCCTGGAAGGTGTCGAATCTTATGCTAAGCCATCTTTTCATTGGAAAAGTCTCATTATAATTGTCACCAATGTTCGAACGAATTGACCAAATGTTGCTATTCAACCCATCCCAAAAGGGGGGGGTCAACAAGACTAGGGTAATCCCAAGTCCATTGGCTTCTCATCATGTTCCTTCTTTTTCTGCAATGGCCTATGTTGAGGGTACGATTTCAGCCTCATCTATTTTTGATCATACAAATTGTCCAGTTCACAGTGCACTTACTAGCTGTTGATGACTTGTTATATCCACATTTTGCTTGGCTAAAGGCATTTAAAACGAACGTTGAACACTCAGTTGTTCTATTCAAATTCATACTACATAATTCACCACTCCTGAAACTCATACGTAACCCATATCATATAAAATAATTGGGATGTTGTATGCTCTGGCTACCGGCAATCAAGCCTCCGGCAATGATTGGGACAATCCCCCATCTTTGTTCGATGATTTTCCCGGCGACAAAAAAACTCCCTTCTTGTTGGGAGTTTCGCAGCCAGCCAGCTTTGATTACTGAAGGCTAACTAGATTGACGAGTGAAGTAGATATATCTATAGGATCTGGTTGGTGGTGCAATAACCATCTTGAAAAATATGAAAGTCAATGGGAAGGATGACATCCCATAGATTATGGAAAAAAAATTGTTCCAAACCACCAACCAGGTATCTATAGATTAAGACATATGCGTACTCATTGGTATATATGTATAGTCATAGATATGCTATCCCAAGTATTGACTATTAGATTGCTTACATGGATTACTATAGATTGATTAAGTTTGATTCATTTTGGATCAACATAGATCAACATAGATTGATATTTCTATAGATTGACATAGATTGACATATCTAATTAGCTAATTTTATAGTATGGCTCTGCCCCCCTCTCAGTCGGATTATTACCGACTGCGCCTTCAGCTCGCAGAGCCACCACGATCTCAGGTTCAACCGGCCTGGCTCGACCCATTGCCAAACATCAATCCCTGGAGAGGTTTCCTACACTTTTTCGCAGTGATCCATGATCCAAAGCCTGAAAAAAATATGGAAAACTATGAGAAAATCCTGGGATGTTTAGGGATGAGGTACCAGATTTTTTTTACCTATGTAGCCGCTATGGTAATCAAGGGTGAAAATTCTGGAGGGTATCCTCCAGGCTCCATGGATAACCCCAGGTGAATGGATCCTGCCCTTGATGTTGCCACAATTGGCGATATATATATATATATACCCCAGTGATTCACAGCTCAAATGTTTTTGGCCATGTCCAAGTAGATGGCATGTTCCAACTATCAATAATTGTACTATAATTGGATGTGTAGGACCGAACTATACCGAACTTCAGAATTCACAACTGGGGATACTCTCTGGTAATTTAACATAGCTATTGAAAATGACCATAGAAATAGTGGATTTTCCCATGAATCATAATGATTTTCCAGTTCGCTATGTTAAATTACCAGAGGGTACATCAATAAGATATCTGGATCTCGGTGAAGTAAACATGTTTCTGGGATCCACATCCTGGTTCGTATTGAATCTGCCGCTGGGATCCTTCTCTTCATATCATGGCGGATCATGGATACTCTGTGCCTTCAGCCTGGCATTGGTTTTTCTCATTATCATGATTATTGATGATTATTGATATGGTTATGATGTAGTTTCCATGAAGTTATGTGTAGCTGTTAATGATGGCAAATGGGTACTATCCCCAAACTGACAGTAACACTTCGACCATGAGAATCATTCAACACTTCTTAGCTTCCCCCAAAATTCTTCACAACTCATGGCAGCCTGGTAAGTCTTAGGAACATGCTGCTGCTAAACGTAGGGAATGCATGGGTTGCTGGGATTACTTGGGATTATTATTACCATCTGTCTTTCTTTTTTACATGGCCATGGAAGATCACCATTTTTAATAGGTAAACCATCTATAAATGGGCTATTTCCCATGGCTATGTTAAATACCCAGAGGGTAATAGTTCTTGTGGATCATTCCCTCCCTACGTTTAACACGGCTAGCACGGCGCGCCTGTCGGTTGCACGAGAACCAAGGTTTTGGTGTAGAACTTCAGCTTGAAACACCTGACGGCACTGCTGAAAGGCTGAAAGGCTGAAAGTGACCGGCTGGAAAAAAAAAACTGGACATGGCAAATATGGCTTAGATTTCCTAGATGCGCAAAAGCATTGATTTTTAAAGCTGGGCTGGGATTCTAAACATTCGAAACCATTAAGCTCTCAACCAAGACAACCAAGATCTTGAAAATCTATACCTAGAGGGGATCCATCGCCAAAAAAACAACCTAGTGGGAAGTTGTTAACTCCTTCCTGGAAAACCGGAAACTTAGGGGGATTGGAAGCACCCAGCCCATCGGCTTTGGTGAAATCCCAATTGTGGCTGGATCAAAACTCTTGCAAACGCGCAATCACAACTGCTTCTAGCTACCCTCTGGTAAACATACAAAAACCCATGGAAAATCACAATTTTCAATGAGTAAATCCACTATAAATGGCCATTTTCAGTAGCTATAGTAAATTACTAGAGGCTACCTAGTTTCTGGCAACTAAATAATTGATCTTCACTGGTGAACTTCATCTTCGTGCTGCAAATTTCATGAAAAAATCCCCACATGTTGCTGATAAGATCACCATTATGGAATATCAATGGTTTATCAATGGAATATATCAATGGTTTATCTATCACTTATAATGGTTAATAATGGTGTATCAATGGTTTATATACCTATAACTATTGTATACTATACCAAGATTTCACCATAGATTTTCTCCATAGATTTTCCCACAAGTCCCTGGGGAAACGACGATAGGCCGACCACGCAACTCCTGCGTCAAGTCAGTGGCTTCATCCAACAACGGCTGCAAGTCCTGGAGGCCCAATTTGGAGGACTTGGAAAAAAATCTGATGGATGTAGAACTAGACTCAGTATGGTAGATATCTATATCTATATATATATAATAGGTACATATATACAT